AGGCTTTGTAGGTGTCCTGGGAGGATGTTAAAACTGCCCAGAAGGCTAAATGGGAAAGGAGGAGGGATTTTTGTGTACTGTACTACAGACTCCTCCTTCCCTATCCCTCCTGAATCCCCCTCTTACCCTCCCTCTCCGTCTCCATTAGTTTCCTACAAGGTCTCCCCGAGCTCAGCGGTGCTGCTGAGCCAGCAGCTCGCCTGCCTCTCCCTCTTCCCTTCCCCTCCCCATCCCCAAGGGGTTCTCGGCTGGCTGAATGAGCGAGGCAGCATGGACAAAGATGCCAGGCTCCGAGGTGGGTGAGCTGAACCCGAGCTGTGCAGGCCCAGCACAGCCAGAGGGACACAAGCTCTGTGGTTCCTTGAGATGTGTCCCCTTTGCAGCACGCTCCGTGTAGGCAGCTCTACAGACCCTGCTGGTCAACTTCACCCACACTCTGGCAGCACAGGGAAGGGAAAAGGCCCACATCTACCCCAAGTCGGGTGTCCTGGGGAGACCTGCCTGTTGCCTCACCCCATTTCACTCCGTGAGCGTGTCCCACGTGCGCAGCCTGCCCACACAGCTCGGCCGTGCAGGAGGCAGCAGCGGCTGCAGGCTGTGTGGGCAGGCCCGCGAGGCGAGGGGAAGGGAGGAATCGTGATGGAGGAGGGAGGCAGATTCTCAGCAGCTTGCGAGAGGCTGGAGGGGCAGAGAGGGAGCAGCCGGCTGATCGGGGAGCCTGGGGCTATGGCTGCACTTCAGCTCTGAAAGGTCTCCTTGAGACCTTTGTGGGTTAACTCAGCAGTTGTTCAACAGCTGCTGCCGGGCTTCCCCTGCAGCCCCTGAGCTCTCCGTGCTTGAGAAGCTGGTTCAGGCTCCATTTTTCACTGGGACTGCACAATTACTCACTGATTTTATGCTCCTTGTGGAAAATCCTGAAGGCAGCAGGACACCAGGACAGGGTCCCTGCCATGGGGCACCCCATGGTGACCACAGCTGGGGCTGTTGCTTCTTGCCTGGACCAGAGCTGTCCATAAGGCAGCGCTGTAGGGTCCTGCCAGCTCTCACTTTTTGTGGTGCAGCTCGGGAAGCAGAGGGTAATTGTGAGGCAGAACCTGCCACGGAGCGGGTGGTGGAGGTTTCCAGTTAATGTACTTATGTATTAACTACTCTGCCCAGTTTCATTTAACTTCCTCTGACTTCACAGGAGCTATGCTTGTAGCAGCACCTTAAATACAAGTCAGCAACCCTCTTCACAGGAGTATCTGCCACCCTACAGAGCCGTGGCTGTTGCTGACCAGGTGTGAGCCTCTTTGCTTAGGATGGGAGCCCAACAAACCTGAACGCCTACCCCAACGGGCTGAATGGGTGCCTCTTCTGCAAAGAAATGGATCCAGGATTTCTAGGAGTGCTCTTCTCATCTTCTGACCTGGAGCAGGCTCAGCTTGCTCAGGAGTGAGACACAGCTTTGGTTAGAGCAGCAGGATTGGGTCCACTCTGCAAATCCTGGAAGTGGAAAAGTAAATGGGCCATGTTTCGGTGCTGGGAGATCCTGGGTAGTATGGCAGGTGGCAGAGGGAAACCAGGCCAGCCTCCAAGTAAAATTCAAGCAGAGAAAATGCATTTCACTCCCATCCTGGCCAATTTCAGGGTTTATCTCCCCCGCCAATTCAGCTTGCTGTGGTTTTGGGTTGGATCAGCTTTCATCCTGACCCAGGCAGGATCTGACGAAGGCGGTAAAGCCGGCCGAGTCCCAGGGGCAATGCGAAGCGAGCTGCGTCTGGCTTTGCAGCCAAATCATGTGGTAAACCCTTCAGAAAGGAGTTCAGAGCTGCCGTGGAAGTAGGGCAGGAGGCACACACCTGCTTCCCCCCCACACAGAGGGAGGCTGCCACCCTCACAGCCCAGCGGGGCCCAGGGGCCTCCCTCCCTGCCTCCTCCCTGCCCTCGTCCTCCGGCCTGCACCATGTCTGGATCCGTCCAGAGCCCTGACTTGGGCCTGATGTGAGACCAAGTGATCCCGGGGCTTTTCCAGCGTTTGCTGTGCTGGGGTTTACATCAGAGTTTGTGCACGGTCGTGAGCTAGGGGATGGCATGCCTTGGCCTTCACGTATTGTGGGGCCCTGCTGTTATAAGGCAGATTTTGTGACCGCCGTGAGAGTGGAGGGAAGAGCCAGAGAGAAATGCCTGAGGTCTGATCCTCTTCCTTGAATTGCGGATTTAGATTTTGGTTAAAAAAGATGATGGCATGATGCTTTTTTCTACCAACTTATTACTATCTCAGTCTCTCTTGCTTCCCTTTCTTGTCACGTGCAGGCTCTTCTGTTTCAGGATTACAATCTTCTTCCTCCTTCTCCTCAGTAGCTCAATAAATGGGAAATGATTCTGGCCCTTTACCTCTCTTTCTTTCTAAAAAGTGACTACATTTGCTTGATCAGAGTGACTCCCTTCTCTTGAAGGGGAGCCCAGGCCCATGGGGAAAGAGCAGCTGGGTGGAGCGGGCATTACCACAGGAGCACAGCACCCAGCCCAGTGGGACAGGCAAGGTGACCCATCTGCTGCTGCTGAAGTCAGGAGCTGGAGCTTGGCTGTCTTTTTGTGTGTGCTGAGGGCCTGGCTGAAAAGCCCAGCGGTGCGGGATGGCCCCCGAGCTGGGGCTGGCACCAGGCTGGGGCTTCGGCCGGTGGGTGACATTGCTGCCCTCCGCTGCTTTGTCAGTGCTTGGGGGGGTTGTGGCAGCTCTGCAGGAAGAGCAGGAGTGCTCGGAGTTTGGAAGAGGAGGCAGGACTGCAGTCAGGAACAGCTGGGAGGGGATTTACATGCAGGCACAGGGACTTGGGAAAGCCTCCTCTCTGTCATGATGCAAGTGAGGCTCTCTATAACAACAGCGGTGCGCCCTGGTGCACGTGCCCATGAAGTCAATGCACGTGCACACCAGGAGCCGTCCTGGGCAGCATTGTTCGTGGGCTCTTGGCTCATGCAGTGATGCATGGCTGTTCAGGGAAACCTTGGGATGCTTCCTGGCTGTTCAAGATTGTGCATCCTGAATACTAAAGAAATCTTAATGGAGCCTAAAGGCAGCCAGCTTCCTTCTAACCGTTATAGAGACCCAAAAAGATGCCCTTCTGCTTTGTTCTTGCTGTGTGACAGCCCTCTGTGTGAAGGGGTAAACAGCACAGCAGAGTTTTGTGAGCTGCCCTCTCCTCACCCTAATTCTTCACCTCCTGAGGATGTGGAGATCTGGCAGAAGAAGGACTGTGGCCATCTGCCATCAGTGGTGCCCATCTGTTTTCACACTGCGAGGCTGCAGAGCAGGAGGAGGATTCGGCCAAGGTTTACACGTGCCCGCCCGCACAGCTCCCTGCAGCCTGGCCGAGGTGAGTGAGGCAGCAGCAGGAGCCTGGCCCACAGCGAGGGGACAGGGAGAGTCCCTGCTGTCCTGCTGCCAGGAAGGGCGTGATGTCCTGAGACAATCCCAACTGCAGATTAAAGCCACTGATGAGCATCTGCGCTTTCCTCAGCGTGGGCAGGAACGCGGAGACCAGAGCTCAAAGGTTTTCCCACAGCAGCTGGGAGCGTTCTGCTGCAGCCTGCCAGCACGGATACTCTCCAGGCCAGAGTAAATCCCGCGGGAGCTGCTGCGGTCAGTGTACAAAGCCACAGGTTTCACCCGGGCTGACCAGAGCCAGAGGGATTGCTGTGACCCTTGTCACATCCCTCTTCTGCCAGGGAGCTTTTCTGTCCCCTTGCTTGGCCTCTTGGCCCAAATTCCGGCAGCCCCCAGGTCTTCTGGGGACCTAGAGTTAAGGGGCCTTGGCAATTCATCTTCCTGCAGATAGAAGTCCTGTTAAAATAGAAACACTGGTTAGGAGTGAAGCTCTTAAATTGCTTCTGGCCTGTGTGTAGATTGCTCGCAGCTATCAGGGTCAAGCCATGAATTGAACGTGTTCATTAGGGAGAGGGGGCTGCAGGCTTTGCTGCTGGAGCCATAAAGGCAGCGACCTGTGCTGGCTGTGGAGCTGCCAGGCTTTGCTTCAGGGACCACCACCTGGGCTTCCCACCTGGGGGGCTCCCATGCGACAGCAAAGAGGGGCACGTGGAAAAGCCTGAGCCCTTAGCAAAGGAGAGCAACTCCCAGGCAGTCCCCCTTTCTTTCCTGCCAAAAAGTGTGCGCTGATCAGGGAAGGAGTTTGCTCCTTTCCCTGGGAACAGTGTCTGCTTTCGCATCCTGGTTATTCTATGGAAGCCAGGAAACCCCACTCCATAAACAATAGTCGTAAACAAAAGCAGGGCTGAGATGCTCACGCAGCTGGGGAAGCACTCGAAGCACTCAGAAGGGTCACCCCGAGCACCAGAGGACTGCACTTGTCTCTGGGAAAGGCTAAGGACCTCTGTGGAAGATCCCTGCCCGATCCCAGGGTTGTTCAGCCCTTCCCCTTCCCATTCTGGTGGTGGATGGCCCTCCAGGGCAGGGTCACAGTCAGCGCTCTGTAGGAATCGGCATGTGCAAGTGCGTGCATACGTGTGGGTCTGCAGGCATGGGTGCTCGGGGGCTCTGTGTGTGCATGCATGGGAAGATAAACACAGCTATAAATACCCCAGGGGAAAATCTATTGTCGGTTTTAATGAGAGGAAGATCGGGTCTCTTGGATTTTCATCTGGTAGCTAATTAAGTGTTCCTGCTGCTGTGATCTGAGGCAGGGCTGCGCAGTGTACTGCAAATCCCCTGCTGTCTCCAGGCCTGGTGCTCCAGGAGTCCCCAGAGCACTTGGCTCTGTGACTGTGGTTTGAACTTCTCCCCTCTGTGGTTCCTGGCAGCAAGGTGTGGAATACTCCATGAGGAGCCTGCCCTTTCAGTAAATGTAGATCTGCAGGGTCCAAAAGGAACCATGCATCGCTGTTGACAGGGCTGGAGCGTGCCTCCCACCCTGGCTCCACCACCAAGACCCTTGGGTGACCGCTCTGCATCCCAGCTGTGCCTCGTGACACCCGCTGACTGCTTTTCTCTCCCCTTTGTGCAGGCACTGGACATGGACACGGAGGATGACCCCTTGTTACAGGACTCCTGGCTAGACGAGGAAGATGAAGAGGTTGCCTTCAGCTCACGGAAGAGGCAGGAGGGTGCTCTGTTGTGTGGTAAAAGCCCGTGCAGAGCCAGGCCACTGCGTGTCACGCTGCCGGCGACTGGCTTCTGGAATATTGTTGGCTGGATATTCACCAACCCGTACTGCGCCGGCTTCATCCTTTTCCTTGGCTGCGCCATCCCCGCTGTGCTTGCTGTTGTCATGTTCCTCCACTACCCAGCCCTGGACATCGACATCTCCTACAACGCCTTCGAGATCCGTAACCACGAGTCCTCCCAGCGCTTCGACGCGCTTGCCTTGGCCCTCAAGTCCCAGTTTGGGTCGTGGGGGAGGAACCGCCGGGACCTGGCTGACTTCACCTCTGAGACCCTGCAGAGGCTCATCTTTGAGCAGCTCCAACAGCTCCACCTCAACGCTTCCCACCTGGGGGGCGGTGCACGGGCCAAGCGCAGCACCCCGCAGGGCAGGACTAGCCCCCAAAGACCCCGTGCCCACCTCAACCCAGGAAACCAAACTGCCCGAGCAGAGAGGGGCGCCCCGCGCTGGGACTACTCGAACACTTACGTTAGTGCCAACACACAGACACACGCGCACTGGCGCATTGAGCTCATTTTTCTGGCTCGGGGGGATGCTGAGAACAACATCTTCACCACCGAGCGCCTGGTCACCATCCACGAGGTCGAGCGCAAGATCATGGACCACCCTCGCTTCCGGGAGTTCTGCTGGAAGCCCCATGAGGTCTTGAAGGACCTGCCCCTGGGCTCCTACTCCTACTGCTCCCCTCCCAGCTCCCTCATGACCTACTTCTTCCCCACTGAGAGAGGAGGGAAGATTTACTACGACGGCATGGGACAAGACCTTGCAGACATCCAAGGTGAGCTGAGTGCTGCGGGCAGGGGTTGGCACGTTTGAGGCACACATCTACAAGTTCAGGCAGTCACTTACAGGTGTGCAGCTAGGAGGGGCGGCTGCCTGGTGTGGAGAAGAAGATGCTGCCTTGTTGTGCCTTGAGGAATTGTCTGTTCTGTGCTGGGGCCCCTTTTCCACCCTTGCAGCAAAGCCCTTTCTGCAACATCAGCCATGAGTCGCACAGGCCCTGACAGGTGAGCAACAGGGACAAGTGCAGGGAGTTCTGCATTGTACAGACACCTTCCACTGGTCCTTGGCTCCTGCGAATGACTGTGATTCATTAGAAGCGTGTCAAGCCTTGGACAGACAATAGGGATGTGCTTTCCTGCACTTTGGAGCAGATGAAAGAGGTTTGTGGGCTGCTCTGGAGCTTGAAAGGCAGCTTGTGAGTCACCCGCTGGAAAGGCTTCTATAAGGAGAAGAGGAGGAAGGCCCTGTTCCTCCTCCCATCCGTACCCTGCACGATGTCCCTCCAGCAGAGCAGAAGCTCTGTATGGTGAAGAGGTGAATCATGAGAAGTCTGTGGGTGAGATGTGGCTGTGGGATGAAGACTCCATCTGTCTCCCCAGCGCGTGCTTTACATGATAGCTGTCCGGGAGCCACGCTGGGAGCAGGCAAAGGCTTAACTCCATCTGCTCCAGTGTTATAGCTCTGCTACTAAAGCAAGAAAGTGCCTGGTTTCTGAGTTCCTCTGGCATGAACTCAAGGGAACTTGGATTTTGGGGGCAGATAGGGAGTGTGTCTTACTGAGAACTGGCTGGCTCTGGTCTTTATGGTGTGCTTAAAGAAATGGAGTCTGCTCATTAGCTCCCTGGTCTTCCCCTGCCTGTGCAGGTGATCATCTTACCATAGTCAGTGACTTGCTGCTTGCTGGCCTGGTAACTCTTCATATTCATGCTGTTTGCCTGCCAGGAGTAGAGGTCAGCTCATGTGCTCATGTGCCTGCCTGCAGCACTGGGGAAATCAACTCTCCTGGGAGTCTGCTGAGCGGCAGTAAACAACGCACTTGCAATCACTTCTGTGTGATTTGGCTTATCAATATGCATAGGAACACAGAGTTCTCTCTGCCTTGAAAAGAGCTCAGAAACTTCTTATTGCCATGCCAAAGCCAAGACACAAGGTCACCACAAGTTGTATTGCATGGGATGGTACTGAGGGGATTGTTACAAGCATCTCTTTGAGGAGTGTGTGCTCTTCTCCTTGTCCCTGACTGTCAGATGGCAGGGCTAGCAGGTCACAGCAGAGCCATTTGTTTAGCTCTTGTGCTTCCCACTGTGATGTTTCAAATATTGGCCCAATATAAGAGAGCTAAGCACATTCTGCAGTGGGGGTGTTGATGGGGGTGTCGCATGCATTGCTGCCGTAGCTCAGATGCGTGCACGCAAGCTGTGGCTGAGATCACAGTCAGGGAGAGATGTGTCCCTGAGGGGGATCTGCACACAGGCAGCATTGCAGGCAGAGGCACAAAGCAGCAGAAGAAGGTCAGTCTTTGCAAGCCAGCTTTTCCCAGCCCTCCTTGCTCCCTGCAAGGCAGCAGCAGTCAGCATCACTCTGAAAGACAAGATAACTCCCGGCTCGCCTTTGTCAGACTGTCCCTGTGCCTTGCCAGGTCAGCTAAGCCTAACAGAAGTGGCATTTTTCTCCTGCAGGATCCTTGGAGCTGGCCATGACCCACCCCGAGTTCTACTGGTATGTAGACGAGGGCTTGTCTGCTGAGAACATGAAGAGCTCCCTGCTGCGGAGTGAAATCCTCTTTGGGGCGCCGCTGCCGAACTACTACTCGGTGGAGGATCGCTGGGAGGAGCAGCGCCGCAAGTTCCAGAGCTTTGTCGTCACCTACGTGGCCATGCTGGCCAAGCAGTCCACAAGGTGAGGGCAGGAAAAAACAGAGGTTGGGGAAGATGGTGCTTGCTATGGCACTAAAGGAGTGTCTGGAATAGATCCTGCAGGGTGTAAAAGGTTTACAAAAGGTTTATGGGAATGAACAGGTCTGCTCAATTCTGATAACCCTGAAGCATCCAGCCTCACCTGGAAGGCTGCAGGCTCAGAAAGCTTGCCATGCCAGCTCAGACTGCTGGTTGGTTTCAAACAGTGGCCAGGGTGGAATGCTCCGGAGGAAGGAGAGAAAGGATCTTCAAAGTTGGGCTCTGGCACAATGCTGTGAATGAAGGTGGGGGACATATGGCAGAAAACCACTCATATGCCTCCCTTTAATGTCACTTCCTACTGCAGCAGCATGCCAGAGACATCAGTTGAGACACTGATAGGAAGCCAACGACTGAATCCAGTGCCTGTCTTTCTGCTCAGTCCCTGTCTGGCATTGGGTCTGTTTGCTTCCATCTCACAAGTCCAATCCCACTGGCTCCAGCTGAGCTGCTGCTCTGCCTTCCTGGTCTGAGTTTGGCCCCAGCTGATGTGGTGCAAGGAGTGAAATGGCCCTTACTCAGGGCATCAACCTGTGCGTCTGATTCTGCTTTTGCCCATGCCAGCAGAAATCCTTCCAGAAGTGTCCACTCTTTGCACAGAGGGGATGAGGAGAGGAATGTAAGAGCAGAATCAGTTTCAGGAAGTGCAGACTTGTTTCACCATCTGGTCTGTATGGCTCTTGTTGAACAGAGCTTTGCTCAATGCTTGTGGAAGTGAAAAGGTAAAATAGATCAAAAGGAAAAGGTAGCCCAGTACCCAGAGAGCTGGGGGAAGGCAGTACAGCTTCTCAGTCCCCAGCTCTCTGCTGCTCTGAGTCTCAATAGGTCTCAGAATGAAGGGACACTGATCTTCAAAAGCAGAGTGAAGTGCAGTCAGCCCTTGTTAGCCCTGAAAACAAGCATCCACCGAGTGTTTGTTCTCAGCAATGGGCTGGCAGAGTGGGCTGCAGCTAGGAGAAGTCAAAAGGGAATTTGGGGCCAAGGCTCAGTTCTAAAGCTTGGATTCCTGGTAGTCTCCTATGGTGCACAGCTATTGTACTGCTTAAATTATCTTGGATTACTTCCGCTCAGAGTCTGCTTCCAGAAGCAGAGGCTGGTAAATCATATGGCTCCTGATAAGCTCTAACTCTGCCTGCATCCATTGGTTATCACCTTTGTGCTTAATATAATAAGCAATGATTAGGATTCTAGATGGAATTGCCTTTTGAGGCTTCAGAAGCTGTTTGCTGACAGCAAGAAGTCCATTAGTGGCACAGACCCACCAGGCACTGGAGGAATTCTAAAAATATTGGACCTGCTCTTTTATTTTTCTCCCTTCTTGTGTGAACTTCACCTCCAGCAGCAATCTAGTTCAACCTGCTTTCACTGCTCTGAGTTCACTGCTTCCTCAGAGAACTGCCAAGTTTATTAGAGCAGTGACCTCCTTTGGCCCTGGGGGGGATGATGTGCTTTGATAAATCCCCTGGCTCTGCTGTCTTTACACTCAACGCTGCCTACTCTTTTCCCTTCGTATCTTCCCACCCAGCAAAGTCCAGGTGCTGTATGGAGGGACGGATTTGTTTGACTACGAAGTAAGGAGGACTTTCAACAATGACATGTTGCTGGCCTTCATCAGCAGCAGCTGCATAGCAGTCCTGGTCTACATCCTCACCTCCTGCTCAGGTAGGCTGCAGTCAGAGCTGCTCTGCTCTCACACAGAGCCAAATGTGACGTGCCTTCCCGTGTCTGTGGGCAAGCCCCAGGAGAGTCTCTGATGCCCTGGCCCCAACCTGGCTTTGTGTGGCACAGCAGCAGGCAAAAGGTCTTGCAAGTCTGATTCTGCAGAGCAGAGTTTTGTGGGGAAAAGAGCTTTGTAGGGGGAAAGCTCACAAAAGAATAGGAGTGAGATATGGGTTCCTCTCTTGCTGACTCAGGTGTAAGGCTGATATAGTCTCGTGGATGGGGCTCATAGGAGGGAGTCTTCAAGCTGTACTCCTACAGCCCTGAGCTATTCTTTCTCCCCAGCACGCTCCTGAGAGCCAGTACCACAGCAGGGCAGGTGGGAGGTGTCTGTAATCCCTGAGGGTGGCCAGCAGTAGTGTTTTCTCCACGTTTCTTTCCTCCTACAGTGTTCCTGTCATTCTTTGGCATTGCCAGCATCGGGCTAAGCTGTCTGGTGGCTCTGTTCCTGTACCACGTGGTTTTTGGGATCCAGTACCTGGGCATACTTAATGGGGTGGCTGCCTTCGTTATCGTGGGGATCGGTAAGCACATCCTTACTCCAGTTTATCTGTGTTGCCTTGCCTTAACTGCTGCTTGCAGGAGAGAGGAAGGTGATGGTGATAAATGCAGATCAAATTTGCAAGCCCGTTCCCTCCATTGTCTGTGAGGGGAGGATTTTCAGATCAGAAGCTCAGGGCAAATTAGATTTTCAGTACACGTGTCCCTATTGTGAGTTAAGTATCGAACTCCCCTTCCCTTTTTCCCTAGGGGTTGATGATGTCTTTGTTTTCATCAACACCTACCGCCAAGCCACCCACCTGAAGGACGTGCAGCTGCGCATGATCCACACCATCCAGACAGCGGGGAAGGCCACCTTCTTCACCTCCCTGACCACAGCTGCAGCATATGCTGCCAACATCTTCTCTCAGGTATGCTGCAGTTTGGGGATTTGGGGCTTTCTGTTTCTTCCAAAGGCCCTAAAAGAGAATGAAGCTGCCAGTAACATCTTTTTGCCCCTCTGAGCACAGGGGCGTGCCAGACTTACTTTCCCTAGATGGCCCTCTCTTGCCTGTTCTAAGGCAGTACACACTTCCTCTGTATCCGCATCCATGCCAATATTTCCTGTGCCATTGATCAAAAGGAATCCAGTGGCTGTCAGGCTCTGACTCAGCTCCTGCCTGGTTTGCTGACTACCATGACTGAGAGCAGTATGAGCTGTTCTCAGGTTCCTCCAGATATCTTTCTGTCTCTCTAGGTTTCCTGTCCCAGCACTTCTCTGATCCCAAACCCACGTTCTTTGTCTTCATGCAGATACCAGCTGTGCATGATTTTGGACTTTTCATGTCACTGATTGTGTCCTGCTGCTGGGTAGCTGTGCTCTTCATCATGCCAGCTGCTCTTGGAATATGGACCCTTTATGTGTCCCCACTAGAGAGCTCCTGTCAAACCAGGTGAGTTCTGGAGCCTCCGTTTGTGAGTGGGAAGTTGTGGCTGGAGCCCATGGCCAGGACAGTATGCAATTCCTTATCCAGTCCTCTCTGCCATCCTCATCCCCCTTAGGTAGCTTGATTTTGCCATTCTCTGTTGTCCAAGAATAGAAAATATAGCTGCTGCCCTTCCAAATCAGAGCAAAATAGAAGGGCCAGGCCCCAATCTCATTCCTTCTGCTGGTGCCACCCAGCAGACAGACTCAGCAGTGTCCATCATACCTCTTTGTTGAATCCCATGAAGTGTTGGGGCCATTTGTGTCCTCAGAGCACTTACTGCACAGCCACAATCCTCAGGCTGTGCACACGCAAGCCCAGCAGACAGATCACCATTGCTCCTGCCTGCAAGCACAAGCAGTGCATGCAGCTGTGTGTTTGGAAGTCAGCACATTTCCCTTCCCCTGCTCTTTAGCAGTGCAGATGACCTGGCCTGATTTAATTCATTAGCAGGGATATGAACTGCTGAAACTGCTGTCACTCAGTGCCCAGTGTGTGTGGCTCAGCCCTGCTCTGTTTATTCAGCCCAACCTGCTACTGCTTTGCTGTAGCAGCTCAGCCCCTGACCTCTCAGCACTTAGCAATGGAAATTGCTCACGGCACTGCCTGTTGTCTTTCCAAGTAATTGGAGCAGGCTGTTGCTGCTTTCCTTGTTGCTGAAGGAGACCATTGAAGGAGACCATTGGTAACTTCAGGGTACATGACTTAAAGCTCATTCCTTTGTCTCCTTCTCTGCCCCAATCTAGCTGCAGTCAGAAGTGCACCAAAAAGAGTGCTTTGCACCTGGCTGAAGATCTCTTCATTGCCTCTGAAGCCACCTCCAGAGCAGGCCGAGAGACGCTTCCCTATCTCGATGATGACATCCCACTGCTCAGCGTGGAGGAGGAGCCTGGTATGTGCCTGTTGTGTTGTGCCTTCAGGGGGACTATGCTGTCCTGTCCATCCTGGAGCTTCTCCTGTCCATGCTCAGTTCACCTACTTTTAAGCAGGAGGGTGTCACAAAATGATGCTGCCACAAAAGTTGTGGGGAGAAGTCTGAGTTGAGTAGTGACTGCAGGATGCTTTGAGATCTTCAGTGGCTGCAGATACGTGCTTGCTAACTGCTTTGCTAACTTTCTTGGGTCTAAAGTGAATTGTACTTGGTGTTGGGAATCACTGATTGCCACGTGGATGTAGCCATGAAGCATTGAATCTGTAGCACCAGGACAGATCACCTTCAAGTAGAGGATGTTTTTCCCTCTTTCCTGCCATTTGGAGCGCTGCATTTGGGAAGCAGGCAAGAGAACATTTTGTCATTCTCCAGCATGACCTCCTCAGAGCAATTCCTCCCTCATGGCAAGGAGGAGGCAATGAGTTGCCTGAGACTGTGCAAGCAATCTAGAAAGAGAGCCCAGAAATGTCCTATCACTTGTTAGCAAGAGATACTCCTTTTAGCTCTGATTGGAGATAAGGGTGCTTAAGGGCTCATGCTCTTGTTTAAAAACATGCTTCTAAATCTTGCTAGGATCTCTTCCTTTTAAAAAACACAATTGGGGTGGGTCTGGGCAGAGAGTACCTTTTGGGCCTAGCAGCAGAGTGGAACTGGAGGCAAATATATCCCTGGCCCATCGATCCCATGGCAGTGCCCAGACCTTCCCCCTGCAGGGTGGGCTCCGAGCAGCATTTGCTACACAGACAGTTGTGCTTTGGCTCTGCGCTGCAAGAGCTGTCTTCTTAGTATGCTGGGGACACATGAGATGGTAATGTATGGAAATCACTCCTTCCCTTCTGAGCAGAGTAAACAGCAGGATGCTTTTCTCTGGGGACCCTTGGGCATCAGGGAACTCATGAAGTAGCAAAGCAGCTTGTTCCAGCTGGTGATCAAGCATGGTTTGTGGGTCAGCTGTACAGCATGCCAGGCACTCTTTGACTCCACTAGAGCAAGTGAACACTTCTCACCTGTAGAGAAGAGGGCGGTTCCCTGGGCATCCCTGAGCGATGAGGGATCATGGAGGAGCCAGGCTGTAGTCAGGAGGAGGTGAGCTGTGTGTCATTAGCTTCCAGATGTGCTCAGTGGGACAGAAGGACAAATTCTGCTTGGCCCAAGAAGCACGCAGTGTCTTTGTGCTCATATCCACAACGATAGTGGGATCTGGCAGAGGAAGAATAACCTGAAGCACAGGCTTTCAGCTGAGCTGTGGCTTTAGTAGTGTAACTTGTTACATGTCAGTCAGTGGCCAAAGATGCTTCTTATTGCATCCTGGGCTAGTCACTGCACCTGCCTGGATCTTATCACATCGCCTTAGCTTGACTGAGTTGTGCAGCACCTCGCAGAAGGAGATTTTGTGAAGGAGAGCAGGAAGCTACAAGAGGCACTCGTGATACTGACTACTGAGACTGCCTTTGATTTCTCTCTTTCTAGTCTCTCTGGAAATGGGGGATGTTCCCTTGGTGTCTGTGATGCCAGAAAATCTGCAGCTCACTGTGGAGAAGAGCAGCCGAGGTCACTTGATAGCCCATCTGCAGGAGCTGCTGGAGCACTGGGTGCTGTGGTCTGCAGTAAAGAGCAGATGGGTGATTGTGGGTAAGCAAGGAGGGGGGATGTTCCATCTGCATGGGTTTTAGAGGGTTTGACAGCATCTCAATTCATCTCCAAGCCTTGATTATTAGTGACAGGAGACTGAGAAAGGGGATGTAATAGATGGCTTCTAACACGGTTGATGAGCATCCCCGGAACAGATGGTCCCTAAGGGGACTGCATGAGGAACCTGAAGATTTTTCCATCCCTCTCCTTTCACTCAGGTCTGAAATGACAGGCCCTGATGGGGTTATCCAGGCATGGGGCTCAGTACAGGAAAGCCCAGCTGCCACTGTGCTGTAGGGGCTGTTCCCTTCTCCTCTTAAAAACAGCATCCTTCCTCCATGCCCTTGCTGACTATGTCCTAAGAGCAAGATGCACTCAGGGTCCCATACACTTACCAGGGCTTCTCCTTGCAGGGCTCTTTCTCGTTGTTTTGCTCCTATCCATATTCTTTGCCAGCCGCCTCCGTCCAGCAAGCCGTGCTCCAGTCTTGTTCCGGCCAGACACAAACATCCAGGTGCTGCTAGACCTGAAATACAACCTGAGTGCTGAAGGCATCTCCTGCATTACCTGCTCAGGTGAGAGTGCTGGCCCCCAGGACACAGGGGATGCAGCCTGGCCCAGACCCTGAGCTGGGGGAGTTAGAAAAGGAGATAGAGGACTACAATTCTAAAAATATCTCATTGGGTATTGGATGGATCCTGCTGAAGGAAGGCACATACTGGGAGTAGGATGGTGGAGTTGTCTGTAGGAGTAGAGTATTTTGAACAGCTGCTTTAGCCAGGAACTGCCTGAGTGTTCCTGCTGGAGCTAATTCCTTTATAATCTAGGAACATGATCTATTTTTACTCATAAGGGACTGTGCCAGTGACCAGCTTGTGGTCTGTGGCTCAGTGCTCAGGGTTTGGTGTTAGCAGAGTCCCTGATGTGTTACCTACTCAAGTGAGCAGCATGTGCAGGGCTGGAAGGTCTCTTTGTCATACCACTCACTCTTTCCTCCCTGAGTAACCTTGTTGGACAGGTTTGTTTCAGGAAAAGCCCCACAGCTTGCAGAACAACATCCGAACTTCCTTGGAAAAAAAGAAAAGAGGCTCAGGGTCACCTTGGGGAAGCAAAGGGAGCATAAGTGATACAGGGCAGCAAGGTAAGTGGGACATGATGACTGATTTTTGGCCCCATCTTATAATCAAACAAATAAAAAACATAAATATTATGACCTCAGAATAACTGATGTGGAATAATTTTCTTTGGACACAGCCCTCTTGAGCCCTGGTTTGGTGCTGGATGTTATATATCAGGGTCATGATGACCAGGGTCATCATTACCATCCCCGTTCCAGAATGCCTGCTGTTCTCCAGGACAGTGTCCTGTAGTCCAGGTGGCAATACAGTCTAGCAACAAATCCCTCTGGTCTGCCTAGTTTGAGCACCAGGAGCACTAGTTTGTGGGCTAGGAACTCAGAGCTTTTGCATCCCTGTCCTGTATCACAGCCTTGTTGGCAGGCCACGAGGAGAGTAAATTTAGCCTGCTTTGCAGGGGATTTTGAGAATAAAAGAGTTATTGGGCCAGGTCCTGAGCTGACATGAATCAATAAGCCATCAGGAATTACTGCAGCTCAGGATATATTTATGAAATCCTTTGAAATGTGTGTTGTGCTGCTCGAAGGCAGAGGCTGTGCCTGCTGCCCCAGAGGAAACAACAGACCAGAGGAACCCCAATTTCCGTGTCTGTAGGATTTGCTGGTTGCGAAGTACCACTAGCCCTCATGCCCTCTCTCTGTTTGCTCCAGATCTGCAGGGGACTGTGTATATCTCCAAGTCCAGAAGCAAGGGAAGGCCAGCCATCTACAGATTCTCTCTCAACGCCAGCGTCCCTGCCCCCTGGCAGATGGTGTCACCAGGAGACGGGGAGGTGCCTTCGTTCCAGGTGAGTCAGTCCAGGGATGTTGGACCCCTATATCAAGAGTGCAGCACTCAGCAGGTGAGCACAAGAGCCTCCTGTCTCTCCACAGGGCCCTGGGTAGCTCAGGGTGAAATATCCAGGGCACTGCAGTAAAGTAGCTAATGCAGAGGGTGTTGTTAGAGGTTATGCCTTGCACTGCCACAGTACTGTCAGCAATAGGAAAAGTGTGGGCATCTCTGGGGATCAGCTGAGGCCTGGCATCATCAGCTGGCCTTATTCTAGAACTGCAACTGAAACAGCTGGATTCCCACTGCCTCCTTCTGTCCATGCCCAGATAGCTGGTGAGCAGGCGACACAGTTCACAGGCCACGTTGTGCATAGGCCCCCCCAGCAGAACTGCTTTTCATAGCACCCTCACCCCGGACAGAGCAGCAGCACCCAGCATAGGCCACAGAGAAATGGGGGCGGTGAGGGGCTCCATCACACACTGCCCATCACCCTGGGAAGGAGGCAGGCTGGGGACTGGCTGGGTTTGTGCCTGCAGCACTCATTCCGTGTGGTTGTGCCAGTGCCCTGGGAGGAGGGGAGTGTGTGATGCTAACATGTGACAGGCTGCAACCTTGTGGAGTTAAGTGTCTGTTTTCATTAATCCATTGCTTAGGTGTATAGAGTGCCTTTCGGTAACTTCACCAGGAAGCTGACAGCTTGTGTGTCCACAGTAGGGCTGCTTAAACAGACGAGCCCCAGGAAGTGGATGATGACCACCTTGTCCTGTGATACCAAGAGAGGCTGGAAGTTCGACTTCAGTTTCTATGTGGCCGCCAAGGAGCAGCAGCGAACGCGGTAACCCTCCCCAACCCACCCAAGGCCAAGCAGCAAAAGCAGTACAGCTGAATGGCTGATACGGGATGTCCAGTGTCCAGTGCCAGTCCTGACCTCAGCTGGTGGCATCCTTGGCCCTATGTCTCTTTGCACATGTGCCCCATCTTTGCAGTGTTATTTTGCAGGCCCGTAACATCATCCATATGCCAGGGGCTTGCCAGGTGCAGAACTGTCACTGCGGGCTTCTTTGGGGGGCAAAAAGAATTTGCTGGTCTTTGTCTTGCCCTTACCCACCTAAAGTTTTGGGCTGAACAGGCAGCACACAATGCACAATGGCTAGGGATCCAAGCCTGGAGCTGCTCACCTTTTCCTTCCCTTTGTCCCTGAGAATGTCTCTTCCCATGTAGTGCTTTGGACACATCTGTATTACGCCGGCCTTCCTGTAATGAACTCTCTTTGTTGCACAGGAAACTGTATTTCGCCCAGTCGCACAAGCCCCCCTACCATGGCCGAGTGTGTGTGGCACCTCCTGGCTGTCTTCTCAGCTCTAGCCCAGACGGACCCACCAAAGGCATCCTTTATGTTCCCAGTGAGAAAGGTAAGGCTGATGGGTACCTGTTCAGCCACAGTCTTGCTGCTGACTGGGCTAGAGAGTCAGCTGGGTTGTTGCCTTCTTTTATGTAACCATTCTTTCTTCTGTATTGATAGCAGTACCCTAAAGCAAAGCTGTCAGCAACCTCTGGATTTAATCCTTGCATGAACACGGGCTGTGGGAAGCCAGCAGTGCGGCCACTGGTGGACACAGGAGCCATGGTGTTTGTGGTCTTTGGTATCCGAGGGATTAATCGCACAGGACGTTCAGACAACCACGTCATTGGAGACATGGTACACAAATCCTGGCATGCCTGGGGTTGATGGGTGAAGGAAGGTCTCCCTAGATGGTATCTAGTTAATCTCTGCCTCCCAGGTAGTATGGTCCAGAAGTCTGGACAGATGGAGTAGCAGAGGTGGCAGCTTTGTGATGAGCCAAAAGCACATTTCTGTTTAGCAAATTCCTGAATAATGGGGTTGAAGAAGACCTTTACTGAAATCACTTCAGACTTTTCAGAAAATCTCTTTCTGAGCACAGTATCTTACCTTCTAATTTTTAGTCTGAGCCTGGCTTTCCTGGGGATTTTAGAATCAAACCCATCTTGAGCTCAGTGTGGAAATGTCACTACAAAGTCAAGATATTTTTCTATAATTGTTTGTTTTATTATGAGATAGTAACGTGGAAAAATACATAACAATTACTCAAGAGGAAGATTCCTAGATGTGACTTTTTCAGGAACAATTTATCTCCCAAATCTGGTACCTTGATGTACTCCCAGCCTTTCCCCAGCAAAATCGCATTTAGCTCTGGTCAGTTGGCAGATGCATTTCAGCTTTCTGCTCTTCCTCTTGCCTTCTGATTTGAGGGCACTGTGCAGAATCAGCCTTTGCCTGTTGCCTCTGGAGAGGGCAGCATGAAACACAAGCAGTGGGGTGGGCAGAAAGTTGGCGTTAAGTGCTGGGCACTGCCAGAGAATCAAAACTTCTCCTTAGGCAGACCCTGATGTTTTGGGGCATGCCCTGGTAGCCACATGCTCACCAGTGCTTCAGTCACACTGCCTGATTTTTATTTTTTATGTATTTTTTTCCTGGGTTGTCTGGTGAGGCAAAGATGTCTGATGTTCTTTCCACTGTAAAAACCTGTGGTCTGTATAAGATGGTGCCAGGCCGTGTGCCCAGGGTCAGGTTCTGCCTTGTGCCAGTTGCTGTGTACATGCCTCACGTGTGGTGCTCTTGTTGTTGTGTCTCCTTGTGAAAGGGCAGCGTTATCTATGATGACAGCTTCGACCTCTTCAAAGAGATTGGCAACCTGTGCCGCCTCTGCAAAGCCATCGCCAGCAACACCGAGCTGGTGAAACCAGGAGGGGCTCAGTGCCTGCCCTCGGGTATGTGGGGTCCTTGGGGAGGTCCGGGGTCCCCGGGCACAGACTGCTTCTCACCCTCCAGCTTGAGAAACGTAGCCTTAGCCCTGCTAAGGGCTCTTAAACATTCAGATTCCACCTTGATGAAGCAGGGAAAGGAAATGAATGCACCAGTCAGTGATAAATGCAGATGGTGCAGGGAGGAGAGGGGTTTCTCAGCAGTCAGCTCTCCTGAGCTGCCTGCAGCACAGCTCTGCCTGGCTCCACCTGGCCCAAGTCACTGCTCCCACCTCCACAAGCTATTCACTCTATGCTTCCATGTGTTGTACTGATTGTTTCACGGATGAGAAATACACAGCGAGTGAGACAGCAATATAAGAGGCCTGCTCTGCAGCTCTGTTTGCAGCAGTGCTTGTCTGAGTTGGGGTCCTCACCAGCAAATCAGAAAAAATTAATCCAGTGATGATAAGAACAAAGCTGCATCCGTTCTTTCAAGTTGCAGGCATTGGTGGTGATATAATCTGTAGGTCAAGTAAATCTCTTTTTAGTAACTCCTGAGTAACTCCTCAGTTCCCCTGTGGCATCACATCCCTAACCAGTGACCCTCTCTTCCAACTCCAGAGGTCATGTGGTTACGGAGCCAACTTTAGGAAGGATTACTGGCTTCAGGCCAAAAGCCAACCTTACACCTAGGAGAAAAACCCTTCCAGGTCACGCAGACGGCTCCTGTGCTGGTTTAACTGAGCACTTGCTGTTTGTGCTGCTTCCTGACAACTGGGGACAGCCGTGGGCATGTCCTGGTTGGTGCTGATGGCACTGTGTGCCCTCTCAAGCTAGCAGCAGCTGAGGGCTCTGGTGCTGAGATCAAGTGCTTTTGCAAGTCAGAGTAAGCAGCTGCTGACAAGTGGGAGCTGCAGCTTTCACTTGTTTTCTTCACCTTTGTTCCCATGTGCTCCCTTTCCCTGTCCTGTCCTCATCCCTTGCTCGTCCTCCATCCCTTGCTCTTTCTTTCTCTCCAGGTTATAGCATCTCCTCCTTTCTGCAGATGTTGCACCCTGAGTGCAAGAACATCCCTGAACCGAACCTGCTGCCTGGCCAGCTCTCTCACGGGGCAGTGGGCGTGAAGGATGGGAAGGTGCAGTGGATCTCCATGGCGTTTGAATCGGTGAGCACGTGTCATTGCCATCTATCCTTGTGACAGTTTCTTCTCATGACTTCAGGGGGTTTAGCTCTGCTCTTTCTGCACCAGCCACTTTCATTTGCAGCCATAATTGGTGCTTGCTAGTGTTTGTGCCTGGCTGCAGACAGACGCCTCCACTCACGAGTTGCTATGAAGTAGCTGCTTATGCTCTTACTGTGAGAGCTTGGGCAAGAGCTGGTGGCGGATCTGCTCATCTGCTCTCCAGCTGGCTTGTTCTACCTCTACCCTTGCATACCCTGCCTCTGAGAGCAGGACACAAGAATAACATGTTAATCTTCTTACAGACAACCTACAAGGGGAAATCTTCCTTCCAGACATACGCTGACTATCTGAAATGGGAGACATTTCTGCAGCAGCAACTCCAGCTTTTCCCAGAGGGCTCTGCTCTCCGACATGGTTTCCAGACCTGTGAGCACTGGAAGCAGATCTTCATGGAGATTATAGGCAAGTGACTGCCATACTTCTCTCCCTGAGGAACCTAGACTCTCTGTATCTTCACAGCACTCTTTGCTCCATTTTATGGACAAGCATTATATCCCTTATCATTGCTGTGCTAAGTCCCTTATCATTGCTGTGCAAAGTCCTAAAGCTCATTTCTACCCCAAGCAGCACATACTGTCAAAATCCTAAGCATGGCCCAGGGAAATAGAGGTGAGGGAATTTCCCCTGTTGATGGGGGAGGCAAGAGTAGGACCTGGATCACCCACCTCCCACTCTCATCCTCCCCTTTCCATCTGTGCCAGCAGGAGTCCCTGCATGCCTTGTCACCAGCAGGGACACGGTGCCCCCCTCATGCCAGCTGTCACCATCCCAGACTCCAATTGTTTCCAACTGTTTCTTTTCCAGGAGTGCAGAGTGCCCTGTACGGTCTCATCCTCTCGCTGGTTATTTGTGTGGCTGCAGTGGCAGTGTTCACCACCCACATCCTCCTCCTGCTGCCGGTGCTGCTCAGCATTTTAGGTAAAAACACCAGTCCCACCGTGCCAAGCTTTCCCTTCTTCTGAAATTGCTGGGTTGTGGCACTGCTGAGCCTCCAGTGATTTGAACTGAATTGCTCCTACTTTGTGTCAACTCTTTTGGCTTTCCTGGACTCAATCCTGGTGTACCTGGGTGAATGGGAGAAACTCTCAACAAATGCACAGGAACCTCCTTGGGAAAACAGATTTGTGTGTCTAATTCCCAGTGTGTTTTATCTACACAATCCCTTCTATTTGTTTAAATAAGGGGTTTAGCTACCCAAATGCCATCCCTGCCTGTTATGTATAATAATGTGATTAAGTCCCACATGCTCTGAATAACAATTGCACTCCTTCCCAAGGATCTGCACCATGGCTGCTGTTTCCAAGCAGTGGGAGATTTTCAAAGCTGAATATTTTAGCGGTTTTGTTAGCATTTGAAGCAAATTTGTAAATAGCTCCCTCTCCCTGGCTGGTGATTTGACGATATTATGGACTAAGTGTGTTGCTAAACTTCCCAGTTTAAAAAATCAAATCTATCATTTTAAAACCACTTAGTCTCCCACACATGACTCACAAACAAACATCACTCTTGCCTTTAAGAAAAATCTGTACATGTGCTCAGGCTGTGTGTAAACTCCGTCAAACAAAACAAAGGGCCTTCTTGCCTGTAGTGCACAGAGGCACGCTGGCTTGTGCTTGGATTCTTTTAGCAAGCATTAGTTTGGATTGGCATCAGTCTGTCTTTTTTGCCTGATATTTCAGTTAGTTGCTTTGCTGCTCCGAGCAGGTCTGAGTGCCTTTTTGAAGGGTCCCATGGCCACTGAAGGTGAAGGAGGTGTTTGCCTTTGTGGGCAGGACATGTACAAGGTTCTGACTGGCTAGCATGGAGACCTGCAGGGCTGTGATCTCAAAATCCCTGATGGAGCTGTAGCAGTAGGGCTGGGCAGCACTCCCTGCGTCCTTTAAACTTGCCTAACGTGACTTTTTTCACGCAGGGGTGGTCTGCTTGGTGGTGACCATCATGTACTGGTCTGGCTGGGAAATGGGGGCTGTGGAAGCCATTTCTCTCTCCATCCTCGTTGGCTCCTCTGTCGATTACTGCGTGCACTTGGTGGAGGGCTACTTGCTGGCAGGGGAAAACCTGCCACTGCACCACACGGAGGTGAGCTCTCTTCTTCCTGCAGCCTTGCATCCTCTCGTGCCCTCTGTACCACTTGGCTATGATGCAGGACACGAGGCATGATGGGCAAGGGGGGATGTCTTGCCAACATCATGCTTGAGCTTCTTACTGCTTTTCCAGCTGTCAGAGACTGATGTGAGCTGTTGTACCTGGGGACAGTGAGCAGCTCAGTGTCCAACCCACATGGTTGTACAACAAACCCAGCTGAGGATCCAACCCACATGGTTGTCCCTCTCTCACTGGCCACTGGACACACCTGTGTCCAAAGCAATACCCTTTCCTGCCCCACTGAAGACAGTCCTGCACTGGAACAGCCCCACACTCACCCTGTAACTTCAGCAAATCACTTTGGCTTGCTGTGCTGGACCTCCAGGCCTCCTCTGGCCTGGTTAACATCTCCCTCTTGAGGATGGATGCCCCAAAAGCTTGGGGATCTCCATTCCCCAGGTACAGTGTCTGTCATGCGGGTCCAGCAGTCAGCCTGATATGGCTGAAAGGAGGCACTGATGGAGGCACAACATCCAGCAGCCTTTACCTCTGATGGATTTTACCTTTATGGCTGTTTGCCCAGCGTGCTCAGAGCCTGCATGAACTCTGAGATCCGCACTCACACAGCATCTCTGTCCCAGACCGGGACCCCACGAGCTAAGCCGCCTTCTCAAAGGCTAAAACACCACTGCAGCCCCATGTGCTTGTCCCCACAATCCCTTAACACCACTGTCTCTTCTGCCAGGACCCCACAGCGTGCCGCCAGTGGAGGACGATTGAAGCAGTCCGTCACGTGGGAGTGGCGATCGTCTCCAGCGCCGTCACCACGGGGATCGCCACCGTCCCCCTCTTCTTCTGCATCATCGCCCCTTTCGCCAAGTTTGGGAAGATCGTGGCCCTCAACACGGGAGTCTCCATCCTCTACACGCTCACTGTGAGCACAGCCCTGCTCAGCATCATGGGGCCCGGCACCTTCACCCGGAGCAGGACTTCCTGCCTCAAGGCGGTGGCAGGAGTGCTCCTCACCGGCCTGCTGGGGCTATGCATCTGCCTTGCCCTGCTGAAGAGCGGGTTTAACATCCCCCTCCCCAACGGGACAGCCCTGTAGACCTTACGCCAAGAGCCGCACGCTCTGTCCTCTCGCTCCCTTTTCTTTTCGCTTTCTTTTTTTTAAAGGATATTTTTTGTAAGAAAAAAAAAGAGGAAAAAAAAAGCCCTTTTTTTCCAGAAGTTTTTCAACTCCAGATGCACTTTATTTTCTAATAGGTTTTGCTCTAAACTTGTATTTATTTCGGTAGTGATGGATGGATGACGGACAGTGAGGGCTGCCCAGGGAATTCCTCAGCCCATAAGCAGGAGGGGAGGAGGTATCCTTCTCTCAATTTTCTTTCTGCTTTTCTTTTTTTAAATGAACAGAGCTTTCTGGAACCACAAAGATAAAGGGGAGAAGTCAGGCCCTCTGCTCCCTGTCAGAAACCTTCCCTTCTGCCCTTTCCCTCTTCTGGGCCAGGGTCAGCATCCAGTGGCTCTGGAGGTGATGTCCTGCACCCTGCCAGGCCAGTGCATCATTACATGAGCCTTGCAACAGCAGTGGGCTGAGGGATAGCAGTGTCTGGACCCCTTTGCCGTGTCCTGTGCCCAGCAGTGACCTCAGTGCACAGGACACATTTCCCAGCCAGCTCTTACCGGGGTTGTTGTGGGATTAGAGCTAGAAATCTTGGGCAGTCCCAGTTCCTGCTCCCTGTGTGACCTCACCAGTCGCAGCCTCTGCTCTTCATGGTGGAGAGCGAACTGAAGGCCTCCAGCTCCCTGCAACGATTTTTGCTCCTGGACCTGGCAGCCAGCTCTTAACCTGAGGGCGAGCTAAGCCCTGCGGCCAGGCAGAGCCCGAGGCTGGCAGCATGCATGGACACACAGCGGGGCACCCTCTGTGACAGCTCCGAGCCCCCCTCCCACGTGCAGACACGAAGGCAGCAGAGCTTCAGCCTGCGGCTGCTGCCTGCTCACAGCAGATGGTTTATATTAAAGTAAAATGAAATTGCAAACTAGTGCCATTAACAAGTACATTTTAAGCATCACTGATTCCATCATATTCTTAAAATTGAAATAACTAAGTGTGTGCATTGAGATGCAGCGCATCTGGTCCTCGGCAGAGGGGGAGGAGTCAGGCCCACTGGGAGATGCATTAAACATTATTTACAGGGATGCCAGCAGAGGGAGGTGGCCAGAAAGCAGCCTGAGTCCTCATTTGTTTGCAGATACCGTGTCCCTGGTGGCTTTGCATTCTCTGTCTGGATTGACCCCCTTTTTAAAATGGAAATACCAGGACGCCGGTTCCCAGCACCAGCGATGCTCTGGGGCTGTGCTGCTGGGACAGACCAGCAGCTGCTTCTGTGCGGCTCGCTGAATCCCTGCTTTGATCCCTGCCCGTCTCTTACGCCTTCACATCGTGCCATCCCTCTGAAACCGGATCAAATGTTTGTTCCTAAGCTAGGTTCCCGAAGGTATCAGAAGGAGAAAGAAGTGTGAGAACAGGAATCGCCTTGGGCCTTGTTGATGCCAGGGAAAATCCAGAGCACTCCTGCTGCAGGCAGTGAAGGTGGTGAAAGCATTAGCAGACCAGACCTGATTTCTTCCTCACCACCCCACAGCGCAGCTGAGTTACCTTTTTCTGCAGAGTGTTACATGTTTCTTGGCCCCTACCTCTGATCTGGCCCAGTTCTTGCAGGATGAACCTTGTGCCCATGAATAAATGGTTCTGGGAAGTATTTTTAACTCTCCTAAACCTGTGCTTCTTTGATAGCTGCTGGGTGCAACACAGCACAACATCGATCTGCAAGTCTTGCTTTCCTTGATGGCTGTTCTCCAGATTTAATTACAGGTGGTGCCCTGAGCAGTGAGCATGGAGGGCAGTGTGCTGATGATAGAGATCGAGGTGGGTGCTGCAGGGGGAGAGCAAGGGAGCCCTGGTGCTGCTGCCCAGGATGCTCTGGCTGCAGCTCGACCTCCTTTGGGTGATTAAAGCTGATGGATATTTCCAGGTCAGCAGACAAGAAAGGAAGGTGCTAAGTGCTGCCTTGCAGGAAGTTCCTCCTTCTCTGAGCACGGAGAAGCCTTGAAAGGGCTTTAAGGCATGGCATAGATCTGCTTTGAATCCTGTAAAAACTCAAAGCGCATTCAGGCCCCAGGTGCCCTGTGGTTTTGATCACTATGAAGGACTATATAAGTCTCTCACCTCCAGAGTGATGCTGGGCACACCATGCTCAGCCACTCTTGGAAAGCAAGGATTAATTTCAAAGTAGTGGAAAACCTTTGGTGTTTCGGGTCTGATCTGGCACTGTCTGATCTCAGATAAAAATAACCGAGTTGTTAGCACCTGGCAGAAGCTGTCCCGTTTTCTGGAGCAGGCAGGGGAGAGGAAAGGCTGCCGTTTTCCCTCCTCCTCCCTGGCCAGCACAGGCACAGTCGGTGCTGTAGGGCTGGCTGGCACCAGCAGGAGCAGGAACATCACCTTGCCCTTGCTTTCTGAATGATTTCCTCATTCAGGACGGAAAATGAGAGAGCCTGAGGTAGGTGCAGAGCTGTAACAGATGATTCACAAAGGCATGCTGAGGAGGTTGTGCACATCCAGCAAGGAGACAGAGGCAGAGAAAGGAGGAGGAACCTCTCCAGATTGTAGTAAGATGCCAGAAGAGCCAGGAGATGATCCCAGAAGAGCCAGGAGATGATCCCAGACAATGCTTTTCTGTGCAGGGACCCACCAAATATAGGTAAGCTGACAACTTCATGGTCATGACACTTGTCTTTAAGGTCTAAGTAGATATTCCCCCTTGTCCCCACTTCACTCTGCACAGCTCTGTGGTCAGGGTGGCTGGTGTTTTCTCCACATGCTACGGAGTCAAAGACACAGAGGCAGGGCCCGTCCTTCCCCAAAATGTTTGCAACACCCTGATCTCCCCAGCCATCTGTGGAGACAATAAATCAGTGGCAGATGTGTACATCCGTCTCCATGTAGGCAGCGTCCCCCTTGACATTAGAAAATATTCATAAAATTATAGGGGTAAGAAAATGGATGGGTTTATCTGAGCAAATGCAAAGGTGGGGCTGACAGCCCTACTGGGAATGAGTGCTCTGAGGCAGATGCTCGCAGCAATAAAAAGCAAGGGCTCACCTGTCTGGCTCTTTTCTGGGAGCAGATGCTTGCCCTAAATTAATTCCTCCCACATCTCTGCCTATCTTCTTTCGCTGATGACTCTTCTGTTGCCCAGACCATCTCTTGGGCCCCGTCTTGCCGAGCAAGGTTCAGCCTTCTCAGTGCTAGCTGCTTTTGCCTAAGATGCTTGTGGAGGCTGGACTAAAACTGTCTGGAGATTTTCTCTGGGAGAATTTCTTGGACAGAGGAAGCAAAGGTGCTAAAATGCTTCATATGAAGCTGCCAATTTTGATGTATTTAAACAGTTGAACACAGCAGCCCAGTGTCACGGAAATATTCGATCCCAGCCTTACTTGGAGGAGAATGTGCTGTTTTTCCATTCCAAAACAATCTTACTGCTGCACTTAAAAAGAAATGTATACAAGTTCTCGGTTACAGCACACTGCAGTGAAATATTTGGTAGCTGCCCACTCTTCTTTTTCCTCGTAAAATCCTGTTATGAAGGATACCTTCTGAAAAGCTGATGTTAATGTTTCAGGATGGGGGCCATTTGGTAAATGCAGTTTCCTACAAAATGGAACGGGTCCTGTCCTGACCAGGAGCCCTCTCCTGTGCAGCTCTTGGCAGTCCCAAAAGGGCATTGCTCCACGTTGTTGAAGCACTGAGATGCGCAGAGCTGCTGCTGCTGCTCCTTGCCTTCAGGAGAGCTGCTGAATGAGTTCAGGGTTCCCCAAAGACACTGGTGAGACAACAGAGCCCCTGCTTGCAACAGCCCTGCCTAAATCAGCTTTGGAGTGAGGAGGAACAAATTTGGTGTGCTTTGTAAAGATCAGCATCAGAGGGAGAAATAGAGCCAGGTCTCCTTGCTCCATTTGTTTCCTTTTGTTGCAGTGGCTCTTGAGGTGCTGAGCTCCTACAGAATCTGTAGAGGCAGCAGGGACATCAGGGCTGGCCACCAACCCTGGCAATTTCAAAGACTACAGATGCTGGAAAGGAATCAGTGGCTGTGCTGGGCTATGTTCTCGATCCCTCCTGGACCTGAAATGATGCCAGAGCAAAGTCAGCTTCAAATTATTCCCAAGAAGGACATGGGGCATGCTCACAGAGCTGCTGGGAGCACTGATTTGGTAGTCCGGGTGCAGGGGTCTCCAGAGGCCCCTGGCTTTGTCTCCGCTGGAGCAAACTGGCATGTTGCTTTATGTCACGACATCTAATTCTTTTTGCTTGTCCTACCCTGAATTTTCTTACCAGAGTGGCCTGCCCTCCTGGAAGGTTATAAACCCCCAAGACACACATAAATCCTCCCATGCTGTCCACCAAGGAAGCTGCGCTGATTGATTTGCAGCCAGGCAGGGCAAACGCAGTCTCTCGGTTATTCCTTCTGAAATCACTGCTCACCCCGCACAGCATGCAAGCCACAGTTCACAGGTTATGCTGTCCCAAAGGCCTCTGCCAACTCCTCTGCCCTGGCTGAGACCCAGGGTCCTGGAGCTGGAAGTCTTTCACAGCCTGTCTCCATCCCCAGGAGGTGATTGTGGGGTTCAGGACCCTTCATCCCCTCCGCTCCTCCTCTGGGTGGCTGCTGGAGGGGATGGGACGGCGATGGCCAGGAGCAGGAAGGTTCACAGGGGGGAGCAGAAGAGAGCAAACGGGAGGGAGGATGGGTCGAGAGCCGGGGAGAAGAGATTTGAGCACCCCAAGGCACTGCCGTTTCACCGCGTCGCGTGCAGACCTTCAAGTGTTGGTTCTCAGAGTGATGTAGCACAATTCCCAACGGTAACGTACGCGTGTTACTTTTGTAAGTCGTCTCCTACCCTCACTATTTTCAGTGTTCCTTGATTTTTGGAGACTGTTGTAAATAAAAGATTTTGGCATTCGCTCGTTTGGCTCCCTCACTCATCGCCCTGTCACTGTTGCACGCCAGACAAGCCAACAAACAGCCCAGCTCCCACGCAGGCCTGGAGGAGGGCTGGCTCAGGCAGAGCTTTGTCCAGGTTTTCTGGAGCCCTTTTCCTCCTCCAATCCATACTGTGCTCCTGCCAGCGTGTGAAGATCATGCCGACCCCACAAGAACGGGATTCACCTCCCTGCTCCTGCAGCACCACAAGGCCTGGTGTGAACTTCTGGCTGAGGATTTCCATCCATGCCATGCAGCACCAAAGTGCTGCTGTAAGACCGAGCGGCCACCCCACACCTCCCAGGCCTGCACTGAACCAATGCACACAGAGGAGTGCCAAGCATTTACCTCTCGTTGGAGCCATGCTTGAGTGAGGTTTGCTTGCAGCACCCTCCCCTGGGTGTGCACACACTGGGAAGGCCAGCACGCTGCAGCAACCTCCCACATCTTCAAGCCCTCAGCTTGAAAAGCTTCTATAGATGTGGCCCGAGTTATGGGAAAGGTTTCTGTGGCTCCTCAGAATATAGCTGCTGGGCTGGGAAGGGGGAAAGGGCTCAGAGGATGGATTAGATGGGGCAGCAGCTGCTCGCTGTTCATTTCAAGCTGGCAGAGGCAGGAAGGAATTGCTTTCTGGCTGTGGGAGCCTGTCCATGGCAGGCTGTTGGCACAGCCCCTGTGCCAACGCTGACGGCCCGTGCTCTGAGACCTGCTGCCTGCCATTTGGCACGGCCCCATCTCTTCTTCCAGGTGAGCACGTCTGGTGTGAAGTCTTCATCGCCTGCAGCCAATCCCCCCTGGACTTCAGTCAAGCTGCAGCACAGCAATGTCTGCTTTATCTCCTCAGCACCCTGTGGCACTTAGGACTGGGCACCCTGGGGTGCTGCAGCCGGTGATTCCCACAGCTCCCCTCCACCCCAACCCAAACCCAACCCCCAAATTGATGGTTCAGAATGGAAAAGGCCACCTCCTCGCTGAAAAACCACCACAGAGCCTGCTCTTTGCCATTTGGACGGGGAGTTTGGGCACTGCTGCTTCCTATCAGGGTCGCCTGCCTGTGGCTGACAGACTTCAGGGGGCATGGGAGGAAGGTGGGAGGGCTGCAAACGTGCACAGTGCATGACATCTTTGCACAAAGCATTGGTGTGAGGAGAGGCATGAGCCCACCTGCGGCTGTTGCCCCATCAGAGTGCAGTGAAAGCACAGGGGTGGTGCTGCTGGGTGAGTGCTCCTGTACCGGGCTGGGGCAGGCAGCTTAACTTGGAGATAGGGAGTGTTTAAACCCTTCCCTGGCCCCTCTGCCTCACCTGCACTGAGGATAACCAGCCTGGTATGTTTATTTCTCTTTTTTTTACCACACAAAAAGAGCAGCGTGCTGTGCCTCCCCCACACCGTGCCCACTCCCTCACCCTCCAGCGGCTCAGCCAGGAGCTGGGTCACCCTTGCCCTTTCCCTGGTGCTTTGTCACCCTGCAGGTGACACATCTCAGGGACCTGATTGCTAAACAGAGCACCCCAACAGATGGGTGAGGAGTGGGTGCTCCTCTCTTACCCTCAGGGCTGTTTGTACAGATTTTATCTGCTCCCCTGAGGCCTGTGGATGGTGCGAGCGTGGGCTGGAGGGGCTGTCAGCCTTTGCAGGAGGCGAAACAAGCCCAAAACAGGGGGAGCCTTGTGCATTGTGTTCCTAAGTACTGGCACACCGTGTCTATTTCTCATTATTTTATTTTTTTCCTCTCAGGTCAGAGCAAACTTACTGCCCCAGGAGCTCAGCATAAGAACACGCTTGAGGGCGTTGTGTGCAGCAGGAAGGGCCGGGGAGCCGGGCAGCACCTCGATGGGCAATGGTAGGGAGAAAAGCAGCAAAGGAGTCCTCTCAAAGCAAGGCCTGAAGCAGGCTGGGTTGGGGTGAGGAAGGTGTTGGGAGGTCTGGGTTTCACACCTGAACGTGGGGTACAGAAGCCCTTCAGCGGGGGGGTTGGTTTGTCTGCTGCTGAGTGGGCTGAAAGGCAGCAGCTGGCAAACTGCACCATAAACACCTTGAATTAAATTACAAATAGGTTGTGATTTAGGCAGACAGCTGAGATGTCCTCCATCTCAAATGTGAAACGCTCTGCTTCTGGAAAGGGAGGCCCTGAGGTAACTATGAGGGGTGGGTAAGGCCTGGCAGGAGGTGGGATTCCGCCATGCAGCTGCATTTCTGACTAGCTGAGGGGGCCATGTCGGAGAGGAAGGGTTGTAAAGCCTAATGTGAGTCTGGTTTTGGGCAACTGGGTCACATCCTCTTCCACCAGAAGATGTGACAGCCTCAAAGTCCCCAGGGTGAGGGTAGGTGTGGGGGCATCCAGCCGCTGAAGGGGCACTGAGCATTGTGGCTCTGTTCTGTCTGCAGAAAGGCAAGCAGCTCTCACTGACAGCTTTATTTTAACACTTGTTAGCTTATGTCCTGTGTTGGACTCAGCTACAGGTGTGGGCACTCTCGTTAGCCATCACCAAAGAGCACTGCAGGTTGGAGCTGTGGGTGGCTAAGAAGTTCCCCCACCCAGATGAGGTGCTGTGAGGTTATTTATTATACCAGGCTGACCCCCAGAGGTGTGGATGGGGTTGGATCCTTCACAGCCTGGGCAGTGTAGGGTGCTTTTTTCCTTTCTTAAACATTAAGGACATTTTCAATGGAATCTCTTAGTGCTGAGTGAGTGACAGCAAGGGAAGGTTGTGTGTCTGAGTTAGGACTTGAAGCCTTTCTAGTTGGTGGCCTCTGAGCTCTCAGGGTTTGTGTTGTGTTGGACACAGAAGCAGCACAGACTCGAGTCCTTTCTCTTGAACCCACTCCCAACCTGCTGGCTGGCTTGTGCTGGCTCCTGGGGGCCCTTTTCAAGGTGTGAGCCTGGGCTTCCCTTGAGCTATTTGCAGATAACAAAGGAGAAGGGGGGAAAAAATAGCTGTGAGCTGATCAAACAGTCAAAACACAAGCTAATTGTCTAGAAATGCCTAAGTCTGGACCCAAGTTTGTTGTCTCAGTGTTGAGCACAGCTTGTGAGAATTGCTCTGTGCTATAGGAGAGCGGTGAGAGGCCCCTTGGTGGTGTTCAGGAGTGTGATGAGTTCAGTGCTGCTCCACTCTGCTTCGAAGAGGTTGCTTGATGGACAAGGTAGTTTTGTCATGAGAGGGTGAGCAGCTGTGGTTCATCTCCTTGAGTGTCACCTGTGATTGTGATAATCTCCTGAATGTGATGCAGCCTAAGGCTGCTGAAGGATCTGATGCCTGTGGGGTTTCCTTTTCAGCTCTGTTTGGAGAGTGGAAAGTTCCTGGCCAGACAGAGACCTGGCTAAGCTGTAAGGCTGCATGAGAGAAAGCAGTGGTGCTTTGGTCATGTTTCGTGCCTTTATCTGTTTCTGTCTAGACTCAGTCCAGGTCCTTGGGCGTAGTGACGCTGTGCTGCCTGCAATCAGCTGAGATTGTGTGTCTGATCAAACTGTGTGAAAACCCAAGGGGCTTTTTCTCCTGCGCGTGCTATTGAGCTAGCTCTGCTGCTCTGGATGGTTCACAGTGCTCGCACTGCATGCTCTCTGGGGGAGTGAACTGCTCCTCATGGCAGTTTCTCAAGCTGCTGCAGAGACTGGAGGGCTGATTTCTTTTTTTTTTTTTTTTTTTTGTGTTTTAAAATCCTTGCAGCCTTCCTGAAGGACTGAATTCCTCAGAGATTTAGAGGTGGGACCTGTCCTCCGCCGCTATTGTTCATGTACCTCTCAAAGGAGCTGAAGGGTGAACTCAGGCTACTGTGAATTCCTAGAATGACAGCAATGATAAATCAAGATATCTTGCCAGTGCTTTGTCTGTGTGACTTTAAGCTTTTTTTTTTTTTTTTTTCCTGCTGTAGAAATGGAATTGACATCTGTGTGTAATGTGTGAGGCTGTGACCTCTGAAATCCACTGATGGATGCTGCCACAAGGCCCTCGTGCATCACCGAAGGCTGCTCTGCAGAGGCTCTGCCCTTGCTGTGCCAGCTGTTGTGCAGCTAGGGTGAGAGCACTGTGTGTGCAGGCACCCTCACAGTGTCCCAGGGCTCTTGCCTCCATCTGGGAATGCAGGAAGGATGCTGTCTTTTTGGAGCTGGCCATGGTCAAGCTCATGTGGCAAGAGAAAGTATGCTCTGAACGGCCCCAGTGTGTGCTTAGGCATGTGGCATGGTGTCAGATCTTCTCTGACTCCCCTGGTATGCTGTTATCAGCTTCCAGCTGCTGCCAGTAGCTGGGCCTTTACTTCTTTGGAGCTTTAGGTTTAGGGCTGAGCAGTCGATGAAGTGAGTAATAGGCTGGAGATAAGAGCGTGCCTCCAACCCTGGAAAGATCAGAGACCAAGCTAAGCATTTAATTCCATCCTCCTCGGTTAGCATCGTATGCTCCTGGAGAAGTCCACTGGTGCTTTCTGGAAAGCTTTCTCCCTTCCGTCTGATCTGCTGAGGCTGCTTCTGATAAAGGTGAGTGCAGAAAAGCAGACACAGCTCCCTCCAGATGCATGCTGACACCAAAGTTCCTCCTCCAGCACAGCTGTGCTGACCCCACGCTTGCTGAGCTGAGGAAGCAGCTTCACCCTGCTGCTCCAGCACCAAATCCTCCCGGCCCACGCAGCAGCTGGCTGGGGATGTGCGATGGGGCAGGCAGGGCCGTGCCCCCCTGTGCCTCATTGTCAGGGGGGCGTTGGAGCTGGGCAGGCAGCAGCAGAGCAGGGATGAGCAAGGGACCCCGTGAGAGAGGGCTGGTGGTGACTAGCCACTAACCCTGTGTGTGCTCAGCAGCCTGCAGTCCCATTTATTAGCACTTAAAACTTGCTGTCTCTGCTCCAAATGGAGTGTTTACAGCATTGACACGAACAGCTGTCCCAGTCAGCCAGATCATAACAAATGGGAGCTCTGGCTGGAGTGTTATTTTGCTGCAAGGGGGTAATACATCTTATTACTAAACAATGAAGCTCGTGATGGATGGTGACGAGTCTCTTCGCTGTCTTGCTTGATGATCATGCTGAAAAATAAACATAAAACGTAAGATGTTCCCAGGGATCTTGTCAAGGCCTTGCATTGTACCTAGGAGGAGACAGCTTTGAGGTTCCCTGGTGCCTTAGCTGCGAGGGGCTTGGCAGCAGGCTGTAGGTTATGCTGCCTTCTCTCCACAGTGGATTAGCTGGGAGGGGTCTGGGGGTCAGGGAACAAAATTCAGGGATAGAGAGGAGGAGAAGGAGGAGGATGTGCTGGCCAAACACATCAGCTGTAGCAGGAGCTGAAGACAACTGGAGCACTGCAGAACGCTGGTCCTAGGTGATGTCTTATCACAAGGCAGTGCGGGGTCCAACAGGCATTTTGAATAAGGCTGCATTACTGGGGAAGTCATGGTTTGGGGAGCTGGGGGTGGAACTGAGGACACAGTTCTCCAAAGGGCCATGGAGAAGGTATGGTTATGGGGGTGGCAAAGTCCTCCTGAGGGCCGTGCCCGTGATCCTGCTGCTTCAAGTGACTTGTGTGGAGGCCTCTAAGCCACAGCCCCTCTGAGCAGACAGCTGGAACAAATGATATGCTCACTTGATGCCAGTGCAAAATTGAAGGACCGCTGTTCAGGGCAAAGGAGCTGAGCTAGTCAGATCAGCCACCTCTGCTTCTGAGCACCTGCAGAGGCAAAGCTCGAGACGGTTCAGGTCCATTACCTACAGCTTGGAGTCATTGCAGAAGTAGCAGTGGGCTCCGGACCGAGCCCTACAGGAGCCGCAGGGGGGTACTGGCTGGCTAAAGACTGCGTGACTCAGATCTCCTACGTGTGCCTTCACCCACGCTCCCTGCCCTTCACGCTTTTTCCAACCTCAAGGACTGCTGAATTTTCTTACCTGCTCCCCCCACCACCACCACCGTGGTGTTTTATTTTTAAATGGTGACTGTGAAATGATGGGAACAGGTGGTGCTGTGATTTCACAACAAAGGAAATATATTCAGGTCACAAATGGGGTGAGCAGAGCAGAGCAATGGGAACTGGCTCCTGCTGCTTTTGGGGGCTCTACAGCAGAGGTGCAGGGTGTGAGCTGCAGCGCGATGGGGCTGACAGCAGTGAGGACTGGCACCGGGTGTGCAAGTGACACTGGTAGCGTTTGGAAGCCAATTAAAGCTAATTTAAAATATTAGCATATCAGCAGGCAGGAATTCTTCCGACCGGATTGACTTCACTAGGGGATCGGGGAATAGGGCCAGCGTTTAGCTGGCAGTTTTTCTTTCCCTGTGATTGCGTTCATCACCTGAGCTGCCAGGGTAGGGCTGGGGTCTGCTGGAGGAGAGCAGCAGCGGGGCCGGGGGTCTCCTGGGGAGCAGTAAAGCAGCACTGCATGGAGCTGCGCCAGTGAGCGGATGAGCTCCCACTTGGGAGCCATGAAAGCAGCCAACAAAGGCGCTCTGTGTCTGTGCGTGTGTTTCTTCAGACTAGATGAAGGAGGGAGAAGGTTTTAAAAAAAATCCCAGCCCTGTTTTTCCCAGCAAGTTCTCCCCGGTATATATTTATATTTAGTATCTATTTAGCAGAGAAGAGGGGAGGGCTGTCTGGGAAAGCAGTTTGCTGGAAGGGGGTGGGTTTGTAATCCAGACATTCAAAGACGGTCTTAAATAGAGCATTAATGGAAGGGGGAAGGTTGGAGACTGCAGCTTTCTATTTTGGTGGAAATGGAGCTTTCTGTGCATGCCAGCTGCTGCTCGAGTGAGGGAGTGGTTGGTCACCGCATGGAGGAGCTTTCATTTATGCATCTGTCCTCAGTGCGTAGCACTCCTGGGAATTTTCCTGCTGTCTGGGAGGATTTGGGGGTCAGATCCTAAAAGGAAGAGAAAAGGGTGAGCAGAGCTGGCTCACATAGAGTAAGCCTTGTGTATGTGGCAGGATGCAATGAGCAGCACTGCAGCTGGACAGGGAGCACGCTTGCCTTTCTCCAGACAGCTGGAAGCAATCTGACCTCGAGATCTGAAAACTGCCACTGGACACCTATCCACAAACCCCTCACGGCTTTGCCTTTCTCCCAGGGAGTAGCTGGAGCTTTGAGGCACTGCTGAGCCCGCCTGTCCCTGCTGCCTGGCTGTCTCCTGGGCTGGACCGGCTCAGGTCTTGTTACCAGTTGTACCCACAGGTGGGGAATCAGGTGTTAAAAGATTTGCTGAACATCAAATCACAGCCAAAATCAGTGCACCCTCTTTTTCTTCCTGTCGAGGTCATCGTGCTGCACTGGGAGACTTTTTTCCCAGGCTGTTGGCTTGAGGTGAGTGCTGGGGCTGAGAAACCCATCGGCCTTAGGTCTGTGCCCAGTGGCTCTGCAGCAGCAGGCTTCAGTTAGCTCAGGTGCATTTGTTCCGTGGTTCAATCAAACCCTGAGCTCATCACACTTGTATTTTTGTTGGTCGATATCAATATTTCAGAATCACAGCCACATTGCCCTGTTGGCATGGGGTGGAGAAGTGGCACGGACTTGATTTCTGTGGGTGGCTGTGGATAGGTGTGAAAGCAATTCCCAAGCAGCTGCATGGGGTAGGAGTACTCCTGGAGTACTGCATGAAGAGATCATGGCCACACATCCAAGTGAATTACAGACCAGATGAGGAGCTGACTAGATATATCTTTTCTGGGCCTGGGTACATGGTATGGCAAAAAAATAATCCGCAGGTCTCTGCACACCCACACTAGGAGTAGATGTACTGAAGTTGATAGGGAAAGTTAGTCTCTAATAACCACCTATCAGCAAAGAAATCACAGCCTGGTCCCCAGACGCTGGCTCTGACAATCATTTTGTGCTAATGCTTTAGCCAGCCTGTCTGTCGCTCAAATATTTGCTGAGGGGAGTGAACTTCCCAGCTCGGAGGCTGAGCCTGCCAAGGAGGAAGATGGGAGAGGTGACCCGGGCTGGTGTCCGTGTCTGCACTCTGGGATTTTGCCTCAGAAAAATGCAAATGTGGTTGGAACCAATTTTGTTCAAGAACGTGAACAGGCACTCAAAGGACCTTTTTTCCCCTCTCCCCATGACTTCTCCTTCTCTAATTACTAGGATGAATGTGTAAACCCTCACACTGAAGTGTTCACAAGAGTGGGTTTACTCATTTTACTCTCTTTCTTGGCGTAAAAGGCATCTTATTAAGGAGGTTTTAATGTGTTTGTTTTTTTTTCACCAAGAGACATGGATTATAAAGCTTTAAGAAATAACTTGCATCTAGAAAAGCCAATTAATAAAACAAAAATTCTGATGTCATTTTCTCATAAATTAACAATTCATAGATAATTTACAGTGCTCATGTCATTAGGCAAATGGACTTTAAATTGATTTCAGATTAGTGGGTTAATGATTTCCCGCAGGTATGGTTTCCGTGGGCAGCGTGCATGGTGTTACCTTCAATGAGGGGTAGGTGTGCGGGAGCAAACTCCTGCCTTGGTAATCGAGGCGATGATGGGAGTGGTGGTCGCATCCAAATGCGGTATTGATCTGCGCAGAAAGTGCTGACTGTCTCCATCACTGTGGCAAGGAGAGGGTAAGGAGAGGACTCTGGGAAAGACTGCAGTCCTTGCATATTTCTTGTATAATAACGGGTTTGGTATGTGTTAACTCCAGGTGGTGCATTAAGGTAGTCAATTGATACGGTGTTGTTAAATAACCTTGCAGTTTATAGTACCGGGGAAAAAAAATTATGCAGCTGAGTTCTGATTATAGCTGTAAGGGAACAATATGTCCCCAGATTGATTAAAAACAGGGCGAAGATTACGTGGCGTCTGAGCTACTGGAGTCTGAGACCAACCCGAGGGGGAGGCGCGGTGCTCTCCCATCGCTGCTGTGATGGCCAGGCTGTGCGCTGCGAGTCCTGCCTTACCCCCCTCTGCTGCCAACTTCTGTCCTTGCATGATTTTCCCCCTTGTTTTTCTTCTTGGCCTGCCTGTAAAGCTTGTAAATATTTCAGGGGACAGGCTGAATGTCTCGTGTATGTTAACACGGGGAGCTAAGGTCGGAGCCCTGAGGTGCTCGTGGAAGGTCAGCAGCTGGTCTTTCACCTTGCTCAACCTAGTTGCCAGGAGGTCCAGACTTGTCAGAGCAAACCTGGAGAACTCTTGTGGCACAGTTAGCCTTTCTGTAGGCACACACTGGCATTAATAAATTGATCTGGGCTTTTTGTCTCATCACCCTAATACTAGAGGCATTAAAAAACACTAACGAATTCCTCCTTGGGGAGATGGACTTATTGTCCCAGGCCTGCAGCCGAGGCGGGGAGAGATGCCTGCTCGGGGTGATGGAATGACATGGCAGTGCAGCAGGGAGGGGACATCCCTCTGTGGGTGTAGCGCTGCCTTCGGCGAGCCCTGCCTTGCATGGGTGGGTTTTGTAGCACGAGGCCGTCGATGCAGGACGGCGCCGTGCAAAGATTGCGGTCTAAATTGGCAACACCCTGAGCCGTGCCGCAGGCACTGCTGTTCACTGCCACGGATGGGGAGGCTGAGTGCTGTGGAGGATTATATTTTGAGCACGATGGACAGTAACTCATGAATTAAATGGCTGTGGAAATGGATTTTGTTGGCAGTACATATTTGTGGAGCGCAGTCTCTCTGTGGCTGCCTGTTTACACAAACTCTATTGCTTCCAAGCTTTGTATTACAAAATTAAATTCCTCCTGCATTAAAAATTTATGTTGGATGAAAAGATCAGTGTATTGAAACTTGGTGAGAATATCCCCCTCCATGCACATACACACATCATTTGGACGTACCTTTCCTCTGAATGCCGGCTGATGATCCAAATCATGCGAGATAAAGTTTATAATTACCTTCTATCAGTGCTCTGTAAAAAGCGGAAAGGTGCCCTTAAATAGGGGGTGATCCCTATAAAGATGAAATTCATGCTAACTGAGAAGTTGTTATTGCATCCCTTAGCATCTCCTGTGCTCCGAAGGTGTTGAAAAGACTTTAGAGAGAGATTTATGGGAAGGTGCCTTCTCACAATGTGTTATTTTGGCTTCAAGGACACTGAAATTCTATCGCTTACTGCACAGAGCTACTTGTGTCAGTACACAATTCAGCTCATAATTATAGCCTTTCATCTCATTAGCATATGTAAGAGTTTATATAAGTTTTATCCAAACATTTTTAATTCATTAGGTGTTCTCCTTGTATCTGCTATGCCCTGGGGCATAAGGAACACTCTGCAGTTGTTTTTTTATGGAAATTAGACCTTAAAGACGCACATAAATCTGTAGACATGCTTCTGCAATTTAAAAATGACTCTGTAAGATGCGTACAATGAAGGGAAATAAGGATTTAAAGCACCATCTTGGTAGAATACAGTTTATTTTGTGTATATTTTTCAGGGAAGCAGATCCAGCAGCACATCATACAGTGATCCAATTATGAGAAGTGGAGGGAGAAGGTGGAATGAGCGGGTGGGAAATGACAGGGGAGGATGGTGGCGGTGGAGGTAGCAGCAGCTTGAGGAATGGACCCAAACTGGAGTGGGGACAGGGAGCTGGCCAGAAAGCTGAAGGCTGGAAAAAACACTGGGGTGAGGTCTTCAGCATCCCAGTAACGTGGTCTTTGGGATGGACCTGCATAGTGTTGTAGGGCTTGTGTGGAGAAGCTGGCTCTGAGCAAGGAGCGATGACCCTGCCCTCATCATGTGGAAGGAGCCCCAGCCCTCCTTGCAGAAAATCATGTTGGTGCTGTGACTTGTTGGCTTTTTCTGGTGCTGTGTTTCCCTGTGGCCAGACAGCACCAACTCCTCTGTTTGAAATCTTTTTTTTTTTTTTTTTCTCCATTAATTTGCAGGCTATTTATTTCTGCCTTCTTGGCTTGGGCTGCACGCTGTGAGTCTGGAGGAGCCGTGACCTGGAGGGACCATCTGTTTCTCTGTTGGCAGGCAGAAGGGATGGGGGCCAGGGAGGAAGGATGCAGCTCCTCTATGCTGCTGTTCCTGTGCCTCCTCGCTGTCTGGGTAATTAAACACTAAAATTAAAATATATATATGTTAATAATCCTCGTTCTCTAGCAGCTGTAGTGGAGTCAGGCTGTTTCTTCCTGCAGATGGAGAGGCTTGGGAGCGACCTGCTTCCCTCCTGGCATCAGAACCCTTCTGGCCACAGGAGCGACCTGGCAGCAGCGTGGATTTCCTCGAGGAGCTGCAGGTTGCAGCAGATGCTGCCCATGGGAGCCCTGGGAACAGACCTGGAATGCCAGCCTTCAGAAGGACTTGGTTTGGTAACAGACCTCTTTGATTTCTGGTGGTCAGAGCATTGATTATGGTCTTCAGAAACCCACGGAAAGGCTTCAGATCTAAACCCACAAAGGGTTTAAGCTCTCAATTTAGGAACTCCAGCAGCAGTTTAATGTTTTTGCTGATAGCAGCCTATGAATGAAAGCCCCTGCCCCGCAGTGCTATCTCTAAGTATCTGTCACTCTGTGTGCTTAGCAAGAGCAGAGAATGGGAGATACAACTTCTGATTAATGTCTCTGGGGAGCTTTTGCAATACTGTTTTGCAAGCAATTGTCATTTAACATTAAGGTAAATACCTTGCAGCTATGAACTAGAAAGCCCTTTTTTTCCTTTCCTTTTGGAAACAGCCTCTTGGCTTCACAAAGCTCTTGCTCATGTTAAAACCACTTCTTTTTCTCTGTTGGTGCTGTAGCTGCCCTGCTGGTACCCCAGAGCTTGCCCTGAGCTTGAGGTGGCTGGTAGTGGGCAGGGATGCTCAGTGCTGTGCCAGCAGGGGAGTTAAACCAGAGGTGCTTCTTGGTGCCTCTGCCCTCCTCCCCTCTGCAGGAGGATGCTGCTGGCTAGCTGGCACGGGGTAGTGCTGAGTGGCTGGGTATGTAAATGAGCTCACTTTCATTAGAGAGCTTGGCTGTAAGAAAACACCATTAACTCCATCGAGGCTCATCTCTTTTAATACCTGTGCTCCCCCTGGAGACATCCAAGTTTCTAGGCTAATAATTTCTTATCGGACTCTGGTGACTTTTACTTAAGGAAGTTGCTTCAGGCAGGGAGACCCCACTCTTAATATTTTTTCATTCATTTCTAAAAGATTTGGAGTCTTCTTATTATTACTGCTTCCCTCAAATGTTTAACTTCTACCTTTCCTCAACACCTCATCTGGCTCTCACTGCTGTAACCCAAGCAGATTAATGCAGTCACCAAGACCTGCAACACAATCCTTCTCACCGCTGTGTTGGAAATCCAATGTTTTGGGGATCACTGCGTCATTGCAGGCGATAATGGTGCTAGTACCTGCCCTGCGGAGGTGGTGGCAGCTTTCTCCTGTGAAAGACAGCACTGACTCCTTGTCCTATCGCCCCCTCCCAGAAGCGTGTCTTGTTCTGGCTCCTTCCAGCAATGCAAACAATTACCGTTGTGCGAGAGCCACAACTGCCCATGCTTTAACAACATTGCAAATTACACTCGTAAATTCAGAGTGCAGCTAATTGTTGTTTTATGGAGTAGATGTTCTTCAGGAAAAAAAAATAAATTAATCTGTAAACACTCCGATGCCCTGCTGAGCACAGGACTGTTTATCTTTGGTGAGGAATAGCCTTCCAGAGCAACCTCGGTGCACGCCGGATCACAAACTTTTCAAGGGCAGTGGTGTTCCCCTGGTGTGGCTCTGGGCAGGCAGGAGCTGTGAGAGAGGTGGGTTTTGTTTGCTTGGTTTTTATTCTGGGATTTCACCTGCCCCTGGAGCAGCGTGCTTTGTGATTACCGTGTTGTTGCTTGTTCTGGAAACCCCTCTGGCCTGGCTGAGATGAGGGCTCCCCGGTGCCGCCCGCTGCCCTTGTGAAGGGGAAGATGCAGCTGGTTTGAAGGATTACAGGCAAAGTGGATGCGACTGGCCGAGGCAGGGGACAGATGTAAACCTCACTGTGCGATGCTGGGCAGATTGCTCTGCTAATTTACAAGGATGCTGTTGCACCATAAGCAGGTGCCTTAAGACGGTTTCTGCCCTTCATCCTTCTTGAGCTTGTCCAGAGGATGGATGGGACACCCAGGAATGAGCTGCTCTGGAGTACCCAGTACCACTCTGCTCACAAATGTACCCTTTAAGGAGCCACTCAGCCTCCCTGGCGCTATCATTCTTCTGAGCCTTCTCTGCTTCATTCCTAATTGGATCCTTTGTACTCAATTGTCCTGATCTGCGGAAATGTTATGAGGATGAGGGTTTTGGCTTTTTTTCTTTTCTTATAGTGATTTATTGTATTTTAATTCTGGTTTCAGTGTGCAGGCTTCACTTGGCAGGAGTGTGATTTGCAGGGAGGCAGAGTGTGGGAGGCTTTATAAATAAAACACCTGCTCTGTCTCCCTTCATGACCAGGGTCTGATCTTCATTACTCCAGGGCAAACCTGGGAAACTTTCCACTAAAATCAAGGGTGGCACCGGCACGGTGCTGGTGTAGCAGAGATGAGAATCAGAGATGAGAATCCATCTGCCTGCAAATTGCCAAGGCTGTAGCTTTCGGGACTCTAAGCAGGTGATCTACGTGCATTTTAATAACCGTAACCTTCACAGCGAGTGCACATTCTGCTGAGTGTGCAGATTGCAAACCCGCGCTGCAATCGCTGGAAAGGTTGTTTGTGGTAGCTCTTGATATACTGTTTGGATTGGGCTTTGTTTGCTCCAGCGAGGCTTTGGAAGGGAATGATGTGCTAATTGAGTATTCAGCAAATAGCAGCTTCCAAAAGGTCCTTGCCCGGTGAGCTAGGAGATGCCCCTGAAAACACACGTCCACTGGTTAGCACGTGTGGCAGTGCCCTTGTGAGCCAAATGGGATCCTTTAATTATAGGTACTAATAATGCTTTGAGCTTTGCAAGTGCTCTGCATGATCAAAGTGCTCTTGGCCCATCTTGTAATGCTGAGATGAAGCAGGTATCGACAGGGGATGCATGGACGGTGCTGGTGGGAGCTGTGCTGAAAGCACCATCTTCTGCCCACAGTTCAGCTTCTGAAAAGGACTTGGATGCCACAAGGAGCTCTGGCATAAATGCCAAGATTGGCAAATGCTTCGTGCTGCAGCGAGCATTGCTGGACAGCTGGGCTGAGATCTGACACCATCCAACACGGGGCCGGAGGGACTCAGAGCACGGGGCCTGAGGTACATGGCTGGGTATCAGCTGGGCCTTTGTGCCTGTCGGTGCTGACTCCTGCTGTCACAGCTGCCCTTCAAAGGGGAAAAACGCTGTAGCCTTTCTCAAGGGAGCATTTGAAATGTAAACCTGAGCCCTGCTTTCGTGTAAATAATAGTATTTTTTCCCCTTATGGAGCCTGCTACAGGGTGCACTCTCAGCTGGCAGTGGTGGAAGCGACCAGCGACTTTCATAGGAGAGGGAGAGGCAAGGTTTTGCCAAGGAGGTGCAGTGCTGTCACCTTGCTGTCGTTGGGGCCTGATCCTGCCTCGAGAGGAGAACAAGCAAAAAAAAAAAAAGGCTGTGAACAATCTTGAGCACAGGCCCTGGTGGCTGGCAGCCCCACTGCGGGAGGGCTGGGGCCTGACCTCCTGTCCACTGCGCTGAGCAGCAGCACCAGGTCTCTGCTGCTGAACCACGGGCTGCGGGGAGCACCTGTGGGGTGAAGGAGGCAAAGGCTTCAGTCTGCTGTAGTTGCCAGGCTAAAGCATGCTACTGTGGAAATTCAGCTTATGGAGAGGCTGGGGGGGAGCCAGGCTCCCCCGGCTGGCTCTTGGCAGGCAGTCAGAGTGACTCAAAAGGGAGAAAATCTTCACCCATCCCCTCCAATCCCATCTGTGGCTTAAAGGAATCAGGTTGTACTCATGTTCTGGATGGGGGCTTACCCTGAATGCTGTTAGTGTGAGTATGCTCAGCTGTGTTTTTGTGGGGTCCCCTTGCTGCTCTACTGGGCCCCTCAGAATCCCACTGCTGTGTGTCTGCAGCTGAAATACCTCAGCTGTAACCTATTTAGCTTTCCTGGCAAAAAGTCTTCAAGTGGAGCACGAGGCTTCTCAGGCTGTGTGTGGGTGAACGTGAGAAAAGCCAACAAGGTGTTCAACTCAAGTAGGTCAGAAGAGGGAACCTGAATTTTACAGGAAACACTGATACGTGTACTGTAAGTGATTTTATTCCAAATGAAAGACAAGTCAACTTTTTTTTTTCTTTTTTGAAACTCAGGTTTTCTAGTGCTAGATCTTAAAAAAATTAAAAGTCCCTTCCACCCCAAAAATAATCACCCCAAACCTTCAGTTTAATCAAAACATTTATCTTCAGTGGATTGGGTGGGAAGTGTTCCGAACTGATGCAATTTAAGCTTATTTCTAACATGAAGTAAATGTGATTATTCAGCAGAGGAGTTGAGAATTACATCTGATACGTAACTCCTGTTGCCTTCCACAACCAGCACGAATGCAAGGCAGGAACTCCACACCAAAATGCGGTGCTGTGACCTTGGTAAGCCTGCAACCAACCTTCCCACCTGCTTTCATCTCCATCTTGTGTTACTTCCTAATTAACACCTTGGAGCACGTGGTTTGGCTGCTGTAGGAATTGGGGCCCGGTGTGTAAACCCTTTGTGGAGTTTATCCGTGGAACAAAAGGCCCTTATTATGCTGTCTCTGTGGCTGCTGCGTGGGAGTGCTGCAGGGTGTGCAAGGCGGGAGGAAGAGGGGGAAATGTGCTGCTGTGTGATCACAGAGCTGAATGCGTTCTCTGTATTAATGTAGCAGGTGCTCTGTTCTTTTCACAATAAGAAAGTCCAAGTAATAAGAGGTTTAGCTTAAGTCATCGATACCAAAAAAAAAAAAAAAAAAAAAGAAAGAAATATGCCTCCAGCTTTAGCACTGTAAACAAACAAAGTTGGGTGTATGTCTAAACAACTGATGGCTTGCAGGCAAATAAATAAAAACCACTCAGGATGTGACATTTCCTCAAGAGGACTTCACTTTGCTGGCTACAGCAGGTTTGGGGGAGCGCAAAACGCTGGTCCCTGGGGAAAGGGACACGGCTGGTGAAGCAGCCACCGCGTGAGTCACTGCAGAGCTGCCTCTGCCCGAGTCCCTCTGCACGTCCTTCCTGTGGCCTTTGGGTTTTTTGGGGTTAGGGAAGTTCCCGTGCACCCCATGGCTTTGGGTGCAATTTGAAGCAAAGGGGCAGGAGTTGGAGCACTGCAAGCCAGGAGCTGGGAGTCCCTAGCCCCATTTCATCCCTGGCAGTGCTCTGGTCACCCCGCAGAAAAGGCTTTTGGCTGAGTATGTGGGAATGCAAACTTGGACAGACCCCTGGGGCAAGGACTGCCCGCAGAACAGGGCTCAGCAAGCGCAGGGAGCTGAAGCACAAAGCGCCTCCTTGACATTTTCCTTGTCTCCCCCAGAAACTGCTGGTTTATGGCTGTGAACAGCAGGAAGCGCAGAAGCAATTTCTCCTTTGACATTTAAATTGCAGACAACATTTCCAATTAAATTTCCCTTTTTTACTAGATGTTGTTTCAGGTGTATTAGCCGCTTTATTCTGTTAGAGTGGTTATTATCTGTTGTTGAGGCTGCTGGCAATGCAGAATCTGCTGACATTTTGGCAGGAAGGTCTCTGAAAGCATTGCCTGCTCTTAACCTTTGGGGGTGCGTGGGACTCTGCTGTTGGGCCTCTGCCAGGGCCACGGCTGTCTTCAAAACTCTGCTTCTGCTGGAATCTGCAACCCCAGGAAATCCAGCACGTGCTGGAAAGCCCTGGGGCTTTTCAACTACCCACCCCTCACAGGGTCTTTGCCTGGGTGGGGATGGATGTGCAGGGAAACACCAGACTTGCCCCAGGATTGCCTTTCAGAAGGATATAAGGATTGAGCCTGGGTATTTCCTAATGGATTTGCTTTTCATCTGTTTCATGCTGCTGGCCGGATGAAGGTTTTCTTTTTTTGTGTGATGAGAGATGTTCCTTGTCAGGGCTCTTAATCTGTGAGGCTGTCCAGATAAGCTTACAGACCTGGGAAGACAGGAGGGGAGGAGGACGCAGCTAGTCAGGCGGAGCAGGAGGCTGAAGGAGACAGAAAGAGAGGTTAGGAGAGGGTGAGTTATGTCACGCTGATCATCTGTGTTGCTTGTCCTATTCTAAGCTGTTGTGAAGCAGAACAAACTGGGTGAGCAGAAATGTGCTGGTGTCCCAGCATCAGGGGATGATGCACAGGGATTTAGCCCAATGACTTTTTTTTTCCATTTCACTGGGGCAGGGGTTTAGTTTGGAATAGCTTGACTGAGCCCTGCAAGGCTGAGGCTGCAGCATTACCCAGAGCGAGCAGGAGATGTGCAGGGATCAGCTGCGTGGCTGTTCCTGGCTTTGTGGCGAGCGTGTTGTAGGGATTTCACTTTGTAGGGAGCTGTGTAGTTAAATCCCCTTCAGCTTGCTTGCCTGGTGCTGCTCATGTAAGTTGCTTTCTCTGCTGCTGGAGGCAACTGTGGTCCTGGAGCTGTGGTCCTGGCGTGCTAGGAGAGAGGAAAGCCCTTTGCAGCAGCAGGGTGGTGAGGACCAAGGCAGCTGCCCTCGCTGGTTTCTCTGAAGGCATTTGGGCTGGGGGAGGAGGGCTGGCAGCACCCTGGTGATGCTCTAGCTCTGAGCTGGAGCAGCTGTCTCCAGTTCCTGGCAGGTCCAGAGGCTGTGGGGTAGGTGTGTAATGGGGGGGTCCCTCTTGAGGCTCCCTCCCCACCCACCATCAGTGGGTGCCAGACCTGCCCATGCAGTCCTGTGGGACGGGATGGATTTGTTGCATATCAGCCCTGAAAATGTCCTGAGCTCTGTGAGTGCTTCCTGCCTGGCTTAGATCTGGAGAGATGTCACTGGGCCTTGTTAAATGCTCCAGCCAAGCGACACAAGGCATAAATCATCTTCTGCATGTATCAGCTCATCCAGGTAATTGTTGCCCAGGACAGGGGCAGACCCCTGCTGGTATTTAGGGCACATGGGGCATCCACACCCCCAGGACTGTCACTTGCTCTAATCAAATTTGGTGTTTCTGCTGACGTTCTTCGCATCTGCCTAACATCTTCTGTGTCAAAGTCCCGGAGCCCTGATGAGCGTTAATTATCTGCCTTTTTTCATCACATCCCTATGGGGTAATATTCCTCAGTTTAGAGATAGGAGCTCAGAGGCACTGAGAGGCTAAGGTCAAGAGGAGAGACGTGCGGAGAATGGTAATACAGGCCAGGAAAGCATTTCGAAACATAAATTCATTCTGATTCTAAAGGAGGGCCAGAAATGCTGAATTACCTGTTCATTTACCAACTTCCCTAGCCACTGGAGCAGCCTGCTCCTTCCTGATACAAGGCAAAGAGTAAGCAAGAGGAGCTTTGCTCCCAGGTGGCTCCCTTAGCAGGGCATGGGACTGGCCAACGGAGCAAGAGAGGTTTGGGGCTTGAGATGTACAGCAAGAATGAAATGCAATTTATGAAGGCATAGACTTAAATGAATTGGTTCATTTATAAAAATCAACTTCTCCAGGCTACTTAGCTTTTTGATGTCTCACCAGTATTTAATTGTCTTAACTTGATCTTAATAGAATTATTAGGTTTTATATCTCTGTAGATCTTGAGATTTATTTCCCAGCTCTCAATCTATTGGCCTGTGGCAACACTTCTGCTTAGCTTTGATTTGCGGGGGGAAAAGTTATTAGGCCAGTGAGCGGTTCTGCATTAGCAAATGGAACAGTTCCTAATCAGCTCATCTGTTTTGTGCTGCAGACTTTAAATGAAACACTGCTTTGGCAATATTTACCAAAGTGGATGTTGTCTCGATGAGTTAATTATCCTCCTTTGTCATCTTGGAATGGCCTCTGTACCTCGAGATCGTACGTCTGACTCGTGCTGTCCCCCCTTTTCTCGAATAAAGCTTGAGCAGTGAGACTGCCTGGGACGTGAGGCTATGAGGATCCAGGCAGGTTGTGTACAGTTGGGCCACAAAGAATGGCAAAATGAAACGTAGAGGGAGAGCTGGTGAATGGATGGCACTGGTGAAGTGAGGCTGGAAGATGAAGGCTGTGGGTTTCAGTGTTTGTGTTTTCTGAAACCCCGAACTTTGTTTTGAAACCATCTTTCTTTGTTTTGTTTGTTCTGCTTGGTATAAAACTGGGTTTTCTGGCCTCGAGCCAAGATGAAAATCTCTCTTTTCGTACCTGCCGTGGTCAGTGGCTAAGTTAAAGCAAACAAACTCCCTGCGTCAGCTGCATGCCCAGGCTGCCAGGGAGTGAGGTTTTGGCTGGGAAAGAGATTGGCCCCGTATCTTCAAGGATCCTGCTTCTTAGAGAAGGGGAAGGCATCTTGGGACACCAGTAGATTTAGCTAGTATTAACAGCAGGGGTCAGTGACAGGCTCTGTCTGTAGCTGATAAGTGAAAGAACAAGCTCAGAGCTGCGGGTCAAGAAACAGCAGTTGTCATTACCCTAGAAGCACTGATAACATAATCCTTTAATAATACCAACATAATACCGGCAGCCGTGGGCAGGGAAAGCTACAAAAGCTGGCCCTGAATTTGGTGTGGAGTCCCATGGGAGGGGACAGACAGCCGAGTGCTTTGCTAGGAAGGATGCTCAGCTCGTGCCCCAGTGATTTCCCCGACCCCAAAGGGAGCGGTACAGCCTGTGCTCCTGCCTGTGCCCCGAACTAACGCTGCAGCTGCCTGCTAGGAGGAGGAACCCCTTCGATCACCCCTTGGCTGCTCCGTGTCTGAGCCAGAAGCACTCACTGCTTGGGGCTCGAATCCTCTCGCTGCCAAAGGCTCTTGGAGGGACGGGGGTTTGCTTGGTCTCAGCAGAGGAGCTCTGTGTCCTCAGGGCTTTGCAGCTCTTCAGAAGTGGGGAGTTTCAGCAGAGAATTAGATTAAAAAATAAATGTGTGGCTTGCCTCTTGCTGGATATGTTGTCCCTCAGCACTCTGCCCCCCACTTAAGAAAATATTGCCCTCCAGATTCAATCCTGTCGCCCATTATTCATGAGGTCATTACTGTTTAATTTAATCACCAAATGTCAGCTCAACCCCATTTATTCTGCCAGCTCACTGGAGATTTACCTATTTATTTTACATTTCAAATGAATTGCTCATTATTCTGTCATTCTGGGATTTTATTCTGTAATTTATTTTGCGGGCCCTGACAAGTTGAAAATGAGCCCTGGTTCTCTCCTCTCTCTTGCATTTTAATCGCCGGGCCCACGGTTCAGCCCGTCGCTTGCAGGACCGAGGGACCTGACCCAATATTCAGCGAGAGAAGGGAACCGGGCCGTGTAATCCCACAGCTGCTGTTGCTGATTCAACTGTAACAAAGAGAGAGACTTTTTTTTTTTTTTTTCTTCCCTCACCTCTCAGGTCAACGTCAAAGGACAAATTACCCCGTGCAACGTGCTCCTGGAATACACCCCGGCGGTTCAGAAGCTCACGGCGTCCCTTCTGGTGCGTAGGCATGGGTGTGGATGTGCCGTTAGTCCCCAGAGCAAAGGCTGTGAAATGCAAGCGTTGGAGGATGCACTGTTTTGGGGTGTAATCAGCCTTCTGGTTTTGAGGTTAGGATGAGATGGTCCCTGCTGGGGGACTGTCCTCACGTTGCCTACTTCCAGCTCTACTTTCCTTTCCTTCGCTCTTGTTTCTTGTCCTGTGCTGGTGCTGCAGAAGGCACTCTGCTCCAGTTACGTGTCCCCAGGTGCCCCGGTGCCTGGGTTAGGTCTTTCTGTGCCCTGTGTGTCCCTGTGCCTGCAGCTCAGCTCCTTGCAGACAGGTTGTGGTGCTTGTAACTTGTCTGCGTGCTGCCGAGTCCCGTCCTGCCCCCACCCTGTCCAGCCTCATTCCGCTTCCTCGTGCAGAACACTGTATTATGGAAAACCAATTTTCTGTCTGGATTAGTTCTTTATCTGCCAATTGAGCGCTCCGTGCTATCTCTGTTACCCTGCGAGCTGCTGGGACCCGTGGGCCCTGCACGTTGCCCCTTCATTATCCAGTTGAGGATCAGCTCTTCTGTGCTGGAGAGAAGACTTACGGAAATGCACAAAAGGCAAAAGACACTGGTAGGCACTAGAAAGAGCAAGAGGAAGAATTCAGAGGACACGAAGGGGGATTTCAATCTTCAGGCTCATTTCTTGGTGGAAAATAAGCTGAGCTTGTGCTCAGCCCGGTGAGAGCCAAGAGCAAAAAACCCACTGGGTTTGTCTTTGTGATGCTTTCCCTGACACTGGCACAAACCCAGAGCACCTCATTGATTTTCTGTTTTGCCCAGTCTGAAATGAGCAGTGTGAGATTGCTCCTGTTTGCCGGGCTGAGTTATTGCCTGCAGCTCCAGTGAAGTTTCCTGGCAGGTGCAAGAGTTGGACAGGGTAGATCCAGCTTGTTTTGGTTGTCTTTTCCCCTGAGATGCTGTTTCTGCCCATTGCATCTTCACACCCATCTCAGCATGGGCCATCGAGGGCACGTTTGGGAAGTCGCTGCTCTGCAGGGCTGCAGTGGGAGCACTTGTAAGAGCACCTTAAACACAAAAAAGTGACTCTGGTGCTCTTCCCTGGAAGCCCTACCGTGTCCTTGGGCCTGGGTCGAGCTGTGCCCTGCCTAGAAAGGAAACTTACCTTGCTGCTGTGTGCAAAATGCCTGTTTCTGGTGTTCTTCAACACAGGGAGGATGGGGTGGCTGACTGTCAAGTGCTCATTCTTGTGAACAATGGCTTGGAAAGAATAATTTTCCGACTGGATGTCAGGCGTGTTTATTCCTGGATATCTAAGTGCTCTTGACTTGGCCCTAACTGAATTTGTGTCCCAGCATTTTTCTTAATTATTCTCTCTGATTCCTCCGTGTCACTGTGCAGTCGAAGATTAATTGGGGAAAACAGTGGTGTGCATCCTGCTTGGAGGCCGTGGATCACTGCGTGCATCTTGCAGGCTATGGGGAGGAGCCCAGCTACTTCTCCCCTTGTCCCCCCCTCCCAAGGTCACCCTTCTGTGTCCCTTCCCTTTGCCCTCCCCATGCCACCCAGGGATGCTGAGCACCCCTCCCGGAGCAGGGTGGCAGCACTGGGAAGTGTTGTGGGCTCAGGGGGCTCCCCAAGCATCTCCCCATGCCCTGGCTCTTTGGGGTGTGATGGGGAGGGTTATCAGGCCACCAGTAAACCTTCGGTGGGTGACTCCTGTCCTGCCTGGTTAGGTCCTGCCACAGCAGGAGCCCTGCTGATGAGCTCCTGGCTCTGCTCTCAGCCAAGTGTGGTGTGACAGATAGAGGTTGTTCCTGCAAATGCTCCTTGCTGCCATTAACAAGTCGTTAATGGTGCGGGGATCCAGTAACAATCCTTCAGCCTGGCTTGGGCGGTTGTGTGGCAGCATCTCCTGCTTCCCCTGGGGCTGGGGGGCTGCTGAAGGCATGTAGAGGTTTAAGCTCCTTGCTCTGAGCACAGGCAGGGACCCAGCTGGTGTCCCTCTAAGAGCCAGGGGACGCAGGGCTCTGTATGAGTCGCGGTGCTGCAGGTCTTTTTCAGCTCCTTTTCCCCAACCCTCAGCGCTCCCAGACAGATGAGGAAAGCGAGGAGAAACCTGTGCTTGATTCAGCAGGCCGGGTGCTGGTGGGGGTGGCTGTTTGATGTCGCAAAGCTCCGTGTTACCTCTTAACTGTAAAAATGCCTGCTCCTTTTGAAGCTACGTAGGCAGCCGCATTACTGAGAGCACTCAGCACAAAATAAAGCCCCTCAACATCCTCCCTGCTGGTAACACGTTGTGGGAAGCTTTGCTTTCGTTTAAAAGAAGCGAAGAGCTTTGCTTTTCTGCCAATAGAAGATGCATTTCTCTGGCAATTGGCATAAAATGAATCTATTTAAATAGAGGTAATTTGGTGCAAAGAAATTGATTTTTCTATCACAGTAATGTTGAATAACGTTAGTTTCTTTAAAACTTAGAAGAGAAAAAAAAAAGGGGGAGCTACAGTCTGGCATTTTGTTTTGTTGTATAGCTGTTTGCCTTCGTGTTTTCTGTAGCCTGTCTCAAGGGGATCTTGCTGTGCCTTTTTTCCCATAATAGATTTAGTTTTGCTGTCCTGTTTTGCATGAGAAATGCCTGGCTCGTTAGTCTAACCCTGAACTCCAGAAATGTTCGTTTAATTCTGGACGATCCCACTTCTAGGACTGGCAGGGTAGCACAGGGATGGCAACAGCAAGGGCTTGGACACCCATGAGGTCTGGTAGAGGATGAAGGGACTAAGATGCTTAAGTCCCTCAGGGGACTAAGGGGCTAAGATGCAGCTGAGCACTTCAAAAAGTGCCTAAGGCTAAGGGGATACTTGGTCAGCTCAGGCTGTGGAGCTGTAGAGCTGGCTTGTTCTGTCTCACTTCTTTCCCCCTTTACCAACAGGGAGCTGTCACTGGGAAGTGGCTTCATCCCTTCTGCCTCAGCAGGTGCTGGATGGGGTGAGGATAGCAGGGAGCAGAGCAGCACCCACTGGGACAGCAGGTAGGGATGGAGCTGACCCTAATGCAGCTCCTCTCCTGTCTGTAAACAGCCATCATCAGAGCTTTGAGATTGAAGGTAAGAAGTGAAGGGGAAGATTGGATTAGGGCTGAAAAAACACCAGATTGTTTTTTTTTTTTTTTTTTTTTCTATTGGCAAACCTTTCAAACTTACCTTCGTGGCCTGGCTAGTCTAATAATGAATTGATTTTCTGCGCCTTGGTGGATTTTGTGGAAGCCCTGTCAATGTAAGGCACTTGATTCGGTTGACAAGAAATGGGCTGGGGGGTCCAGACTGGGATCTGATCATTGCAGCATCACTGGTGACTTTTCAAGTGGCAGATTTCCCTTTAACCTGGGGAACCCTGCACAGCTTCTTCCTGCTGTGCCCCCGATCAGCTGGTGTTTGGGGTGAAATCCCCAGGTTCTGGTGGTTGTGGCTGCAGGAGTGGGGAGCTGGGCAGCCATGGGGAAGGGAAGAGCGAGCCTCCCGATCAGGATCTTGCTGCTGCCTCAGCAGATGTGCTGCTGGCTCTGGTGCTGACAGTCCCACTGTCGTGCTGAAGCTTAATAATGTTTGGCAGCAGCTAATTAACACACTAACAGCCGCTTTGTGCCAGGAAGCTGCACGGCCCCTGCAGATCTGGATGCTCTGCCCTGCGGGGGGATGCTGGGGTCTCTCTGACTCCAGTGAGCAATAGGAACACCACGGTACACCAGGGGTGGGTGTAGGGCTCTGGCTGCTTCTGAAAAAAGGTCACCATTGCAGATAGTCGAGGCTGCAGCCTGTGGGCACGATGGGGACTGGCTGAACGTGGAAAGATTGGTGAACAGGCCTGTGCTGGGTTATCAGGAGCACTGTCTCACCACTTGTCTATGAGCTGGTAGGGTTTGGGTACACTGTGAGCTGTCTGTGCTCGTGGTGGTTCCGATCTGTCCTACAAAATGGGGCTGGTGAAGGTGCTGTGCAGGTGGGGATGCGTTCCCTGGTTGTACAGGGTCGATAGTTTGAGTGCTGTGGCAGTGGGCTGCCTGCATAGCTTCTGAGGTTGATGGAAACCTTCTCAGGCTTTGGCTCTACAGTTATGGGGTGCCCAGGGAACCATGTGCCCCCCTTGCCCAGCAGAGCTGGACATGATGCACTGAGCCCCTCCCTGATAGATGCAGCACCTCAGCCACGTCCTGCTCCATTACAGCATCTGGGCAGTGAGCTGCTCCATGCTTCCATTCTGGAATGGCATTTCCCCATCTTGGGGCTGCCCTGTGGGGCTCAGCCCAGCCCCATTCCCCACACCATCACTCCATACCCTTCTTCAGGTCGCTGTGGGAGCAGAGGGCTCTTCCTTGCTCCTGTGAAGCTGAGATGCTGCTTGCTGCTCCCAGCCCTGAGGCAGAAGTTGCTGGCAGTGGGGTGCTGCCTCTCCATGCCTTTCATGAGAGCCCTTTCTTCTCAGTAGGGCAAACAGAAAACCCATGACCCCCTCTGCTGGCAGTCATCGCTGGCTGAAATATTATTGTAAGCCAATATAAATTCGTTCACATCAGTGAAATGAGGAGGCAAGGGTTTTCCTTGCTTTTCCCATTAAGAATAAATCTGCCCACTGAGACAGCGTTTTTACACCCTTCACCTGAGCCTCTGCTGCCTGCGGCAGGATCGCTCCCTGTTCTGCAGGGTGAGCTGTGCTTGCTGAGCACCTTCTGGTCTTTCTGTTCCTCCTACAAGGAGTGTGAAATGCTCCCGAGTCACCTGTGCTGGGCTCCTGGGACTGGCAGTGTTTAAGCTCTGCTGCAGACGCTGGGAATAATATCATTTCTTACTTAAACATCTCTTTTCTCCTCCAGTACCTGCAGGGTGTAGGGGCGACCTCTGCTCCAGCAAACCAACAGTCAGCCTTGTCTGGGACAGCCAGGGGATGCTGGGACACAACCTGGAGACTAGCTGAGACTTTAGAAAGATTTCTTCTTTTGGTGGAGCTTTTTACTGAAGGGTAAAATTCTGCTAATTGGCTAAACCTAGTTAATTTGAGGCTGGAAGTTGTGCTAATCTGAGGGCGGAGGTATCCAGCAGCATGAGGTCTGTGCTTGCATGAGGCGGGCTGCAGGACAGCACAAGCGTTTTGCAGGACAGCACAAACATCTTGCATCCTCCTCTCTGCTGCAACAGACCCTCTGGCGAACTGCAGAAAGTGGTAGGAGCCTGGAGGGGGCTGCTCAGGGCAGAGCTTTTATCTAGAGGAAGAGGGGCTAAATAAAAGGTAGTGCTGTGAGGGCAAGGTGTGCAGGAGCATGGTCTGTAGTATGTTGGAAAAGCTGGAATATTTGAAGAGGGATTTGGTTAATTTATCACAAGCATCATCCTAACGTGGAACTGTTTTTGTCTTTTTTTTTTTCTTTTTTTTTTTTTAAGAGAAACTTTGGAACTTCCAAGTTTCAGATACCTTATTCCTTTGGGTTATTTTTAGCTCGCCCTGGCAGTGAGATGAAAGCATCCTCCCGGTCTCTCTAAACGAGGAGCTGCTTGCTTCTTGTCGCTGGGTCTGTTTTATAGGTGGAGGAAGAGCATAACGGAGCCAGCGAAGCAATTATCTCTCTCTGTGTGGGGCTGTTCCGTGGCAAGCCCTTTGTTTTTAGCCTGGCGGTGAGGAGCAGCACACAGCTATGGGATTTCCACAGAAGAAATGATGCAGTCTGCAGCCTGGGCTTTCTGGGTGTCCTCCCATGTGCCCAGGCTGCTCTCTGCTTTTGCTCACATGAAGATGTTGAAGGAAACCACTCCACCTGCAGAGAAGGTGCTTTGTGTTTTTTTCTCACGTGCTTTCTGGTCAGTGGGGCTGGCTGGCCCTTATCCTCTTCTGCTGGCAGTGAGAGGAGGTGTCTGGTCTGAAAGCTGTGTTTGTGACACATTCGTGCTCCTCGACACTGCCAGGAGAGCACAGACCTTGTGGTTAATTGACTTAGCCACAAAAAGTTGTCTCACCTTTGCTCTGCACTGCATTCTCCCTTAATTCACAGACTCAGGGCAGTGTTTCAGACAGCTCACTGGCTGTGTAGGCTATATAGGCTCTTTTCCCCTCTTTGCTGGCACCCAAAGGTGCTGTTTGTCCTGGCCATGCCGTGTAGGGGGCAGGGGGTGACTTGTGGATAACTGGGGGGAGCTGGAAGAAACTGGAACAAGTAACCTGCAAGGGATGAGGTGATCATCCCCATCCTCTGCTCACAGCCTGAGGGGACAGGGGGGTGTGAAGAGCACGGGCTCTGCTCAGCTCATTCCTAAGATCTCTGCATGCTTTGCTGTCTCTGGAAACTGGTAATAACCTGATCTGGCACCGTTTGGCTGCAAAAACTCCTTCCCTGCCTCAGCCTGGCTCGTGGAGGAGGGTGAGACACTTTTATACCAGCTGTGGTGCTGACCTGGTAACTGGGAAGTGGTTTTTCTATAGGAGGCTGGAGCTGGACCAATTTGGACTGTACAAAGCCACTTTTTAATGCAGGTACAGCATTAAAAACCAGTGTTGTAATAAAATTAAAAAATCTCCATAAAGAGAAGATTTTGAAGACTTTATCCTAATCGTATGAATGTTTCTGCATTAAAGCATTACTGTAATGAGAATGTGTCAAAGGCTTTGCTGGCAAACCCATTAAAACAGATTAGAGCATCTATCTGCACTATAAAAAGGTCTTTTGAGCAGAACTGCCCGTAATTCCAGCTGTCACAAAACAAGAGGCTCCTGAAATGCCCTCTGAGCAGCCATCGGAGCTGGGGAGGACTCAGCCACGTGGGCTTGCTTTGATTGCTGGCAATGCAAGAAGTACTGTGACCCCTGGGCTGTCATTCCTTGGGGGAATCTCTGCCTTGAGGAATTAATGACCTTTCATTAAGCCGAGATAATTGTCGCTTCAATTCCCAGCTGACTGGGGGAGGAGAGTGAGGGCACTGGCGTGTGATGTGCTCTATCCTGTGGCTTTCCCTTGGTCAGCAGACCCGGCCCCAGCTCCCTGAGCACAAAGGCTCGCTGGCCACACAAAGGCAAGAGCAGGTCAGAAGCTGCTCCCTGTGACCCGGAGAGAAATGGAGATAATGAGCTTGCAGGGACCTGGCTGTAGGCAGAGGCATTAGACTAAGGTGGGTTAGAAAACAGACTTGGAACTGGTAATCACAATGTGTTATTTCCATTGAAACTACACGGATTTTTTTTTTTTTTTTTACCCAAATCCCCTCTGTTCTCTAGTAGGCATAGTTAGTAGTTGTTAGTTTTGTTTAGATAAAATCCTCCCCTATGTCTGAGACTTTAGCTTAGCTGAGATGAGCAAGTTTTCCCTTGAAAAGAATAGTGGAGGGGGAGAAATATCTAGCCAGCCACTTGGGTTATGACTTCCACCCCCAACACGTACCCTCAAATGGTGAAGTAGTGCTATGAGGGCACGTGTGAGGGCTGGAGGAGCTGGGGAGTATTTGAGAGAGGACAGAGGCAGGATGAGATCAGCATCAACTGCTGTGGGGTTTCTCCCCTAATAACAATCCAGGCTCCAGTCCCCAGATCCTTGTTTTGATCCTTTTGAGCTGGGAATATAAAAAGGAACACTCCTCCATATTCAGCAGATGCATCTGAAGAATGCACAAAGGCGAGAGAAAACACCACGTCTTCTGACTTCTTTGAAGGGCTGAGCATATAAAAGAATCCTCTTTATTATTATTTTTTTTTTTTTTAAGGGGGAGTGGGGTGGAAATGACAGGGTTTAAAAATTCAAGAAAGAAAGGGGAGGGTGAGCAGGAGCATAACTTTAACCTGTAATTGCCATCTTCACATGCTTAAAGCACAGCCGAGGCCTTTCTTTCTGCTGGGACTCCTAGGTTTTCTCACTCTTGTCCCCAGTCCTAAAGGCATGAAGCTGCTCTGTCTCCTTTCCTCACCTGTTTTATTCCCTTCCTAAGAGCTTGTGCCTGCACGAACCTGTGGTTCCCATTGTTTGGGACAATTTGTCTTAGACACCATGTAGTGCTTCTTTCCTGTGCTGGTGATGCTGGGTTGTGTGTCACGTAGAACAATTTGGGATGGCCTCTGTTCCTCCATCTTTTAACAGAGATGTCTGGCACCTGAAAAATATGCACTAGATTACCAAGTAAATAGCCCTGGCTTTTGATGTGTGAAGAGGGGCAACTGTGTTTAGATTTGGGGGCACCTTTGGACCCCTTCCCCTTGCTGATGATAGTATCTGCCGGTTTAATCACAAGACTGCTGCGCTCTTTTCCCAGCGCTTTTGTTGTATGTATAAATGATTTTATAGCCCTCTTTGATCCGCTGAGATCTGTAGGAGAACTCTGCTTTTGTTTATCGGGTCTTTTAATGGCTGTGTAGGAGGGAACGGGCTTTTATTACAGCCATGAAAGCGGTCACTTGGCAGCAGAGCGGTTTGCACGGGGTCAGGTTGCTTTAGCACACATGCAAATTACTGTTGTTTTTGTGTTGGATCCCAAAGCAGGTGAAATCCTTCTTCAAAAAAAAAAGAAAGAAAGAAATCCGAGGACAAGACCATTGTAGCTTTGCTACTGCTGCAGACGCTGAGCAGTGCCTGCAGAGCGCTGTCGTGTTTTATTTGCTCCCACTCAGTCAATGGGCTGACCTCCGTTTTGCATAGACGGCCGCGTGATTTGAGCTTAACGAGTCGGTGGCATGTGGGACAGAGACAGGTGGCTCCTCTAAGTGCGGGTGAAAGGCCCATTTATGTGCCTTATGAATTATGTTGGAATTGATGGGAGTATATCATATCCCAAGTACGCCAGCATTTAAAAAATGCTCTGCAGCTGCTCCTGTGGCTTTCGGTGCTCGCACATAAGCACCTCATGGCTCCGGTACCCTCAGACACCAAGGTGTGATATGGGCAGAAGACAGCAGCAGCTGCCTCTCCAAGGGCTCCCTGCCCACGTACAGCTTGTGTCCTGGCGTGGGCAGGAGGCAGCCTTTGCTTTTGTCCTGTTTTCATCCCAAAGCAGCTCGTGCATCTACAGCCCTCTGCTGTGGAGCAATTCCAGGGCAGCTCTCAGCCCAGGCTCAGTAGGGGCACTGCCATGGATGTCTCTGGGGTGACCTTACAGCAGCCTTCCAGTGCCTAAAGGGGGCTGCAGGAAAGCTGGGAGGGACTCTGTCGGGGAATGCAGTGATATGACCGGGGGAATGGCTTTAAAATGAACGATCTTTAGGGTCCCTTCCAACCCAAGCCATTCTACGTGGCACCTGTGGTTTATGCCCACGCCAGCTTCTGCTGTGAAGTGCAGAGCTGTAGTCTTGTTTCAGGCTTTTCCATTCAGGGAAAAGGCACCAGGACCCAGCCTTCAGAGACAGACCATGGTCACAGGGTGTCCTGCTTAGGCACAGCGCCAGACTGAGGGCTCAGAGCATCCCATCAGGTGGGACCAGGCCAGCGCAGAGCTGAGACTGATGTAGGATCTCTCCCGGGATTGATGAATTACCCCCTTGCCACTACTGCTTTGTAATACGAAAATAAACCATTGTCTATATATGAAAGCCTGCGAGGTAATTAATATCCTAGCCATTAAATTCTACTGTAGTATACTCAATGTTAATAAGCTGGCTAAGAGCTTTGCTTGAAATTAATAAGTTGCAAATGACCCAAGGGCCACTGCTTCATGCTTGCTTTTTTCCCCCCATTTACCCACCCAAAATTACAGAATTTAAATAGAAAGACAATTTTCATTTATGAGCAAGTATCATTATTCATAACCGGAGAGTTGTAAGGAATAAAAAGCCTTTCCGGTTAATTAGAAACTTGAGCATCTCGGGGAAATTTGGAAGGGAAGTAAATCTGGGCTTGATAGAGGGTAAACAAATATAAAACACAAATCAAAAGGAAAGGTAATTTCTGTAGAAACGTGGAAGTGCTTGCTCCTAGGTGTCCAGCTCTCTTCTGCAGGTCGGTGATCTCACTGTGGCAAGCGTGGAGCATGCCAGGAGGTGCCAGGAGCAGAATATCCACAGGTCCCCCTCTGATGAGATGTGGGAGAGGTGTTTGGGGGAGTGTGTGCCTCCTGGAGCAGGACACGGTGCTAATGAACCTCGCTAGTTAGCGAACTCCTGTAGAACTGAGCGTCTGTTTTAATGAGGCTGACGGTTGTTTTTAATGGTCTTACGTTGTTGCCTTTAGCCTTGGACTGACAACTCTTTAAGATGATTTAAATGAACATAAAGCTTTATATAATGAAGCCTTCTGCTGTAACGTGCCACCAGGGTTAGAACTTCTGAGCACGAGAACTGAGGGATGCACAAGTCGCAGAGGTAATTGTCAGCCCTTTGAAGGACATTAAGTGATCCTGGGAGTTGCTGCCTGTTAAGTGATTGCTGGTCCTTCGTTGGCTGTGGGCATCCTGGGGAAGCAGCTGTGGCCGTTTCCTTTGATACCAAGCTGTAAATAATAGCAAAAAAGGCCAGCGCTTTCCAGACAACCTCTTATCTTTTCATTGCTGGACTCTTCAGATTTCCAAATACTTGAAATTTTCTACAAGAGACCAAGGTCCTGGAGAGTCTTAGCTCTTACTTAAATAAGGAGAGGAGGGAGAAAGAATTTTCTTTCACTTTGTTCTTTATATTTTGGCACAGACCTTCAAGCTGGAATCACCTCCTTCCTGGCTTCCCAAAGCAAATGTAGAAAACTAAGACCCTTCCCTCAGCGTGGTGAGGCCAGGTGAGACACGGTCGTTATTATTCGTGTGCTTCTTGCCCACAAAGCTGGACTTGTGGCTCCATCCTTGAGCACTCGAGACAGCAGCCAGAGCTTGTCCTCCATCCCAACACAGCTTTGTGAGGACCTAAAGTCAGGGAGCTGCACCCAAGGAGGGTGCAACTGAGGAAAAACCCCTCAGTTTTCCACCAGGGGAAAAGAGCAGGCTGGGAATCTGTTGGGAAGAAGTGTCCTTTTAATAAAGACCCCTTGCCCTCAAGGCAGGAACTGGCTGCTGATCTCTTGGAGAAGCCCTGCCTATCCATGGGGTAAGAGGCCTTCAAGAAGTGCCTTTGTTTTTGTGTGAATGGTCCAGGCTGGCAGTGACCAGCCCTGGCCCTGGAGATGCTGGGGGAGGATGGAGCCAGGCCTGGCAAGTCCCCTGGGAGACCCAGAGCTGAGATGGGGGGGCCCAAATCCCCTCTCCCCCTGTGACAAGGGGCAGGGTGGGAGAAGCCTGCGGTGCTTTGTGTGTGACTGACTTTTCTTGTTCTCAGGGCTGTCAATCTGCTATCCCCTGCTGGCAGCAGAAGCTCTAATTAAAACAAATTAGAGGGAGAAGACCTAGCGGTATAGAAATGCTTTGCTAATTATGTGGCTCGCTCAGCAGAAGAGCTGGGCTGTGGTTTTGTTCCACTATTTCGAAGAGACAGTGGCATTGCAGAGATGCTGGGGGGAAAGAGGGAGGGAAGCACCTTGGAAACTTGAATTGTTTTGTTTGTGTCTGTGGCAGGCAAGTGAGACACCTCTGCACCTGAAGTACCATCCCGATTCCTGTATTAATGATGCTCTTCCCACATTCTTTTAAAACCTGGTGTTTCTACCGAGCTGCTGTGCTCAGAAGCAGAAACATTTCTGCTGCTATGTACCAGTCCCCCTGTAGCTCCAGATGCTCATCTTCTTCGATCCCTACCCCATCCCTTAGGGACAATTAGGGAAGAGATTGTAAATTCATAATTATGGACCTTTTCAAACCTAGATTAGTTCCTCCAGTCTATCAGGTAAATACATATTTATAAGTGTTCTTAAAAATGCACCATCCTTCACTCGATGAGGTGTAATGAATCCATCATGTAAATACATGCTCAGGTGCAGAATGGAAAAATCCTTAGGGTATTTTTGGGATTATTAGAGGGATGTTCCTTGAGTAGCTTGGCTTCTCTCAAAAGTAATAAGAAAAAAAGTGATTTAACTGTGTACAATGCACAGATCATTTACTGGATGTTTCTTCTTTATCAAAAGCATACCGGTGCCCTTCAGGCAAATGGGACTTTTTGTAGCTTGGTTGATGTTAAGAGTAGAAAGTTAAAGGAACTTGAGGAATAGCCTGCCTATGATGAGATCAAACTCTGAAGAGTGCATCTTCAAAATACAAAACCGAAAAATTAGTTACTGATGCAAGAAATTGTTTGGAGAGACACCTGAATTTGAGATTTCTTGTGCTCCCTTTTCTGCTCTGTTTTGCACTTCCAGTTTTCCTATGGAATACGGAGCAGAGGCTTTCTGAAGGTGCTGAGCTGGTTGTGGTTATCCCAGTGCTCTAACCAGGGAAACATACCTGAAGCCAACCTCTGGGGAAACGGACCGGTGCCTTCCATGTCTGAGGTAGGTCTTAATGTGTTGCAGGCAGAGCACGGTGTGTTTGTAGCACTGCTGCTGAACTGCAGAGGTGTCTCCAGGCAGCGAGCTGCTGGTGGCAGGTGAAGAGGAAAGTGTCACCTTGGGCATGCTGGCAGCTGTGGCCTGATGTTGTACATCCTGAGTCCTTTGCTCCTGCCAGACATGTGCAGCATGGGGAAAGCTGCTGCTACTCCATGCCCCAGTTTTCCTAGTAGAAATCCTGGTCCTTGAGCTAGACTAACTCTAAATCCATGTCCAGTATTCCCTGAGTCTCACTGGGCTCTGGTGGAGGCAGACTGGTCAGCGTGGCAGCCCTCTGACTTGTGTGCCTGGTGCTGCCCCTGGTGCTGCCCCACGGGTGGCCTTGAACGACCAGTTCTGCTTTGGTTTTGTGCTGCACTTTCTGACTGCAGAACCTGGAACATTTCCTAGAGTTTTGAGTATCTAGTTCACTGTTTTTCTACCAACAAATATTGGTGGGTGTTAGGCTAACACGAGGGTATGTCTCCGGGACATACATGTGATCACAGTTAATCAGGGCTGTGAGTGCTCAATGGGATTGATGCCAGGGCACTCAATCACATTCAAAATCAAACCTGCCTCTAAAATCCTCTTGCTGCTAGGCAAAAGAATACAATTTCTCCAGCTTACTGGGTGCACAGGGAGGGAATTATTCAGTATTGCAGCTGGAATTGAGCTTTACATCTCTGAGCCAAGTTAGGAACATTTCCAAACTTCTGTTCTGACCCTAATTAATAGAATCCATTCTACTTTCATTGCATGTCATTACTTAACTCCTTAGAAAGGAGACAATTATGCTGGAGTGTTAATAACAGTATCCTAATTTAATGTTGCATGGAATGGCTGATGTGGAGCAAAATCTGGGATTCCATGGCTACAACCCTCCAGAATCTGCCTGTCCCAAAGGAGGCCTTTTTACTTTTCTGGGGTCCAGACTGAACTCACGTGAACCCCATTCTCATCAAATCCATGTGCAGCTGAGTGGAAGCTTCACATTACCAGCTGCCACCAGCCACAACACAAACCTGCCCGAGTGTTTTTTAAAAAATAGGAGCAAGTATCTGAGTGTGGGACTGCCGGGCAGAAGGAGGGTCAGCAGGCAGGGGGTCGGTAGGTACCTCCTCTTCATGGCAGCCCTTTCTGTCCTAAATAAACTGCATCTCTCTGTAGGTGCTCTGTTTTAAGCCAGGTTGATGGTGTTCCCAGTTCTTACCAGGGCTCTCATGGGCTCTGCCATTGAGCTGTGACACAGAAAAATGACTTTTGAGTGCCTTTCTAAACTCTGATGGCTTGTATTGTAAGCAATCGTGGGACTGTGCGTTAGGGATGCTGAAGTTCTGCCATCAGGGAGGTGTTTGAGCTGCTCAGGTGCAACTTTTCCAAGGGCTGTGTGTCTGTTCTGGTGAGAGCAGCACACCAAGCTCTTGGAGGATCCTCTGAAATCCCCCTCATGCTCCTGGGGAGGTTGCTGAGAGGTTTGACACTGCCACATGCGGCTGGCAGGTCATCATGATGGATAAGAGCAGCTCCTGGCACTGACAGACAGAAGATCCCTCCCAAGGAATTTTCTCTCCTCGTATAATATCCTGTTAAGTTCATCTCTAAAAATTGCCATTTCTAATATTACAGCCTGAAAATGATGCTAAAAAGTTTCATTAATTGTTAACAGCTTATTATGGCTTTAATTACTGTTTTTAATGCTGGCTAGCTTTCTGTAGTATGAATCTGTTGCCTTTCATTTTCTTTGTTTTTTAATGTAAAGCACTCTGCTTTACCATCTAATTACAGTGGACTTCACAGAGTTAGCTGAGGGGCAGCATTAATTACCCTTTGCCCCAGCTCATCTCTTGATGCGTTTTCTAATTTTCTAATTATTTCTTTTTATGTTCTTTGCGTTGCGAAGGTGAGGAATGGAATTAAAAACAACCAGGAAGGTCAGGGTCTGGGGCAGGGGAACTTGTGTGCAAAACATCACCAACTGCTTTCACACGCTGCTGACCTGGATGTGCTGGACTGTCTCAGGAAATTCAGAGCTGGGGCATCTCTCTGCACTGGTTTCCCTCCCTATTCTCTTTCTGCTCCTCATTTCAGAGAACTGATGGATTTCTTTCCCGCTCCGCCCTGCCACGAGGGCTCAATCTGATGGCAAAGTGAGCAAGTAGAGGAAGATGGACAGAGGCAGCTGGCAGGATGCTGTGGCCAGGTACTCATTAAAGTCTCCAACTCTCACAGCGACCATTAACGACTAATTAGTCGTGCTACTGGTGCCACCGCTGCAGCACTGATTAATTTACGCTCTCTCCCCTGCACGCCATGCCCAGACTGCACCGTGGGGGCTGCGTGGAGGGCAAAGGCCTTGCTGGCACCAGGTTGAACCCTGCCTGGGCACCAGCCGAGGAGGTGGCTGTGCTGTTGGCCCCAGGGGTGGCCATGGCTTTGTCTGTGGGTCTGAGCATCCCCACAACTGGCCCTGCTGTTCCCAGTCCCCTCCTGAGCAGCAGAGGGTGCTCGCTGCTCCCCTGCCCCGCACACAGAGTGGAGGCAGGCAGGAGATGGTTTGCAGGATGTGCTCATGGCCTGCATGCTCCTCTGGCTCCTGATCTAATTCACTGAGGCCCTGTGGTTTATTAACTGTGGTCTTGGCATGATGGATGGGGCTCGGTTAATGCGAGTCTGCCTTTGGTGCTGCTTCTTCAGCAGGTGCTGATTTGTTCTCTTCCCTCCTCTGCCTCAGAGCTGATAGAAACCTAGGATAGCTGATAGAAGCCCAGGATCAGGGTAAAGGTCTGTGATTTTTTATTTATCTTTTTTTCCCCTCTGACATCTATATGGAAATGATCTTGTTCCTTTCCCTTCTGCTCCACCAGCCACCTCCTCTCCCCCTCGCCTTGGTAAGAGCCTGGTCCAGTTTCGGGTGCAGAGGCACAGAAAAGCCAAACCCTGGACGTGGGTGGGCTGCCTTGTGTGGGTGCCAGGGGCTTGCTGAGGTCAGGAGCAGGCAGCAAGCAGCGTGTTTGCCATCTGGACAGAGCCAGCATGGGCACAAAGCTGCCCCTTCCACCTGCAGCCGCACCTTGAGAGAGGACCCAGCATCCCGAGGGCTTCCTGCGTGCTGGGGGGGAGGAATTCACACCCTGGCTGCTGCATCTGCCTCTGCCTGCAGCCTCCAAGGAGCATCCAGGAGCTGCTGCCCTCCCAGCACAGCACTGGGCAGAGACCAGAGCCAGCCCTGCCAGGGGACAAGGAGAGAGCAGTTGTGGCTGTGGGGCAGGACCTAAACTGGCCTGGCCCCACTGGTGCATGGCTGGGATGCTGGTGCAGAGGCCAGGGGGAGGTTTATTAATTACTCGGTGGTGCTGTGTTAACGGGGCCCATTTTCAGCTTTTTCTCTTCTGTTTTGAAACTGTGAAATGAAGCGCAGTAATCAAGGAAGGTTTTAATAACCATCCCAGCTCTGACATTTAAATTACAGATGGCATTTTCAATTAAACAGGCGCTCTCAGCAGGTTTAATTTAGCTATCAGTTCTGCTCTGTTCTTTAAGTGCTTTCTTAAAAACGGTGATGAATTTAAAACTTGCTCCAAAGAGAGGAGGAGCTGAGGAGGGATTGGAGCTGGCTGGAGAAGGGGAAGCCCCGGAGGATGCTGAGTGTGCAAAGGAAAGCCAGAGGTTGAGGAGTACAGAGGATGTGTGATTCCCCCAGCACAGATCTGTGCACAGGGCGCCCCACATCTCAAATGTCACTTTGTGTGCCTGCATCTGTGCACAGTCACATGCAACACCACGCTTCCCAGTGCAGTGGGACTTGAGCATCCCGTCTGTTCTGTGGCTGGTCAGGGGTCTGCCTGCACACCTGCCTCCCTTCGTTCCTCCCCTCGGTGTCCCACCTCTTTCTGTCTTTCTGATGGTGATACCTTATACGTGATGTTAAAAAGATTAAAATTTTTTACACAGTTGTGTATGCTGTACTCCAGCTCCTGTGTGGATGGCTGTATCCAGGCACTGGTGCTTTGTCTGGCAGGAGCCCTGATCTCCCCAGATGTACCTTTGTGTTATTGTACCTGCACTTCACGCTGCTCTGCCTCTCCGTACGCATTATACACTGTCCTGTGCATGGTGCACTCTCCCAGCAGCACTGCAGCCTACAGCTGTGGCCATACACGCGTGCTCTCACTTCACCAGGATGCCCCAAATGCACTTCCCCATGAAATCACACTCCTTAGTTTGCTCACTTCTTTCAAGCAAGGCTGAGGCTGTTTGAAGCCCTGCTTAAATCTGACCCTAGCAAGGAAAGGCTGTAAGGGAGATGGTGGGAATTACTGTTTTGGATAATACCTGGTAAGCAGCCAGGGAAGGTGAGCTGTGTTCTTCCTCGCTTGTCCTTTTGTATACGCAGTGCACAAATCTCCAGGTGGTGGCCCCATGCTCCTGGCTTCTGCTTTCTCCTTTCCTGGTTATGAAGCCTGGAGCTGGGCAGCCAGCCTGGGTGCCGGCTGCTGTTGGAGGAGGAAGCCACAGGGCTGCCTGCTTCCAGATCAGGTCCTGATCTCCAGTAAAAAAAAATAATAATAAAAAAAAATCTGCCTGGCCTATTTTTCGTGTTGTATATGTATTTCTCGTCCTCCATGGCAGAGCTCGTGATCCTCAAGGTCAGAAACATCTCCCGTTGTCTACATCCAGCTGAAACAGCTGCAGCATTGCCTAGCGCAATCACAGGTCAAGGATCATTTGTGATGCTGATGAGGGGAATTTATTTCAAGTAGTACAACTTGGGAAAATCCTGCTCGGGGCTGAGCTCCAAAGGGGGACAGGACTGGCAATTGCGCTGTCGGCAGCTGGTTCTGCACACTGTGAGGCTACGAAGATTTGGAAGTCACGGCTCACTGGAGGGGAGTGGTTCAGGATGGTTCAGCCTGCGTGTGCTTATGGCAACTGATCCTCAGCTGGGGGCTGATGCTACAGAGGTGCTGCATAAATTAAGGCTGCTGTCCTGGGCATTCCTTTCTGAGGAACTGCCGTGGGACATAGAGGAGAGCCTTTTCTACCAAGGAGAGAGCCCGCTTCCCAGCAGCTGTCGTGGAGCCTCCCCTGTTTCTCTCCAGTGTAAAACAGGGCTGGATAATTTCATCACCGCTAATAACATTTCTAGCAAGGCAAGCTACAATAATGATAAGGGTAATTGAATCTCATGCTTCAGGGATAAGCTGAGCTCTGGAGGGGGATCAGGGAGGAATTTATTTCCCCCTCCCCTGTGGAAGCTGCTTTGCACAGCCGATCATTTGTGTTGAGAGGCTGCTGCTTTCCCCGGCACAGAGGCTAGGCTGACCTTATGGGGGGGCTCCAGAAGACCCCTGTTGCCTTCTGACTGTCTTCAGTCTTGGTGCTCTGAGCTGGGGTTAAGGATGAGCTGCCAGCAGCCTCACGCAGGCCGTGCCTCACCTCCCCGTGTCACCACTCTTTGCTTTCTCCCCAAATGACTGCTGGCAGCTTACGGTGTGCTGGTTTCTGCAGGTGGGCACCAGGAGGCTGCGGTCAGGGCCAGCTGTGGAAGGTCAGTGAGAATGGATGAGGCTGCCAGGAGGAACAGAAGTGAGCTGCACCGTTAGCATGTCACGTCCCCCTGCAGCTGGCTTGGAGTAGAAAAATCAGGTGAGCATCTTCTGATAACAGTAAATTGTTCTGTGTCCAGAGCACTGATTTGGCTTTGGGAAGGTGAGTTAACCTACAGGGGCACACAATGACATGAAGGATATGAAACCAGGCTGTCCTAGGAGTCACCAAGAGAGTAACGGTACCATCAGTGGCTAAAGTTTATGGGCTTTGGATCATCTGCAGAACTTGGGAAGTCTCCCTTCACCTGTCTGTCCCATCGAAATTCCTAGGATTTCTCATATGTGCAATTTCAGGACCAAAGTTTTCTGGAGTATTTATGGTGGACACTTAATTTCAGGTAGTATAATTAGAGAAAATCCTGACTGGGTCAAACCTTAGAGGGGGCCTCAGAAGCAAAAAGCATTTCTGCATTCCCACTTTGTGTGATCTCATTTTCTAATCCCATCTAGAGGTGGATGCATTTCAGTGGGGTCTGAGGGGATCTCTTAATACCCTTTTCTTACCTCAGAGGAACACTCTTTAATTACCTCATTTATACTCATTTGGAAGCTTAAAGCATTCAGAGCTGTGGGAATGTGAGGAGCTATGCAGGACAGTACGCTGTTACTCATTAGGAACGAGCCACAGAGTGCTGCAGCTCAGCTAAACAGAGCCCTGCATCCCTGGGGTCCTTTCACACCTACCTGATGGGGCGGGACCTCTCGGTGAAAAGACCTGGGCTGGAGGGGGGAGATGCCTGGCGTGGGGTGGGAGAAGGATGTCAGCAGCAAGCGAGTCGCCCTTGTTCTCTCCCTGTGCTCCATGGCCATCCCTTCGGATGGATTTATTCCCTCGATGCTTGCTCTGGATGTGAACAGGCAGTAGAGCTTTCTCAAGGTCAAGTGGGCATCTGAGACCTTGAAAATGAAGTGATGTGTTCAAGAGTCATGCGAGGAGACTGCAGAGCAGCACATCGAGCCCAGAAGCACAGAGGTGTTAGGGATGTTCTGGAGTCTCCTCTCCTAGGAGAGAACCTCCAAGCTCAGCCGTGCTAGTCCTGGAAAGAGAGCCCGAGAGGCAGGAAAGCATTGCTAGTCATTTTTTTCACCTTAGCAGCTGTGAATTATTCATTGAACTCCTCTGGCTGGGAAAAGGATTTCCAGTTCATTATTTACTGATTTCTTCAGAAGCATTGCACTCTTTTCCTGGGATCTCTTTAGGGGCAGGAGAAATTTCTCCCCTTGAATCTTCAAGGAGTCCTCTGCCATGTGCCTCTGCTATTTATTCTTTATAATGAAGCTGCTAGAATTAATTCCTAAGAAAGACAATGTAAAGAAACATCCCTGTCATTAATCAGTCCTCAGAGCTGTGGTTAAAAGATTTCCAGGTGGCAAATGAATGCCTCAGTGGGCTCTGTCAATTGACTCATGATGTGATTGACTGATGGTGTCTAGTTTCATATCAAAGCTGTCCTTGATGGCTACCACCCGGCTCCTTTCCTAGCTGTGAGCACGGAATGAATTGGCTGCGGTGGGATGCACAAAAGCCCCGGTGACTGTGCTAGGAAGGAATCCAGCAGAAGAGCTGGAGCCTCCGCTTGGTGGCCTGGGACTAGGTCTCCCTTGAGGCCACCAGTCCCCTAAGCACCAAGAGTGTTGGTGTTAACACCATTAAATTTCCTTGGTTGCGAATCTGTGCCGTGCAGCAGCGTCACCCCTTGTTTATCAGACAAAATCTGCGTTGTGTTTGTTGCCTCTGCGTCATGGCATCTCCGACAGAGGCTGCTCTGTGCCATCATGTCCTGTCTGCCTGTCCTGGGGTGACTGTGACAGTGACACATCTCCTGCCTACAGTCCCTCAGGTGATGGCACTCACACACCTGCCAGGAGGCACACACCGTTTTTGGCTCAGGAATTGTTCTTTTCTTTTTGTCAGCCCTAGTGCTTTGTACAAATGCACGCACTACAAGCTCGGGCTGTTGTTTCCATGGGGCACTCACTGTTTTCTAGAGGTGTTTCATCCTTACCTAGTAATTTCTAGGGTTACACGTAGGGTTATTTCTCTGGGTCTGCTTCCAGGGGGAACTGAGATAGTGTCAAGTAGTTAATTGGGCTCCGTGGTGTCTGAGGCCGGCTTCAGACTCCCTATTACCTGTGTGGATGAGCCAGGTGAATGCTGCTGTGCATGCTGATGAAGACAAAAGTCTTCTGTGAGAGTCTGCCAGGCTGTGGGGGTGATGAGCAGAGCTGAAGGTAAGGCCTGGAGATGGGGGGGGGGGACAAGCAGGGCAGTTGGCTGGAGCAGAAAGAGGGACACTGGGGGTCTTTGTATGGTATCCCATGGCACGCTCAGACAGCTGCGTGTTGTGTCCCGTGTATTGTGCTGACTGCTTTGGTTTGAGCCTGCCATGCAAGGCCTGCCTCTTTGCAAGGCGTACAGCTCAGCAGGACTCGTTCCCAGGAGAGCCTGCAGAAGGCTTTTGGAAGTCCAGAGGAGCAAAGTGAATTAGATGAGGCGTGAAGTCTGTGCTTAAAGTCACAGTCCAGAGAAAGGCAGCAGGAGTTCCTCTAGATGGGAATCGCTTCCACCACTGCTATTCCCACCTCCTCCTATCCGAGCCCACTGGGGAGGAAATGTGAGGAAAGGGTTCGCAAACAGCCTGGAACAGCTCAGCTGGGGCTCCTGGGTGACAGTGCGTAAGTCGTCAGGAAATCAGCAGCCCCTCTGCATTTCAGTCAGCTCGAATGCTCTCTGGTGATACAGGCCAGCCGTCTGGCGGGTCTGCAGCAATGGGAGGGGAAAACAGGCCTGATTAAATTATTCAGGCAGTTCAAAGGTCTCTGCAGGCAGCTGCTGCTCATGTGTGTGTAGGGGAAGGTCGTAGCAGTGCTGATGAGTGTAACAGGTAAGGGAGGAGACCAAGGGTGGGTTGCTGTAGCCTGGCAGTTCTTGGTTTAGGGGTGTTGGCTGTTCTGCACTGCACCCCAGGGGCTCAGCAGGACAAGTCGCAAGGCAGATGGCCCTGCCTGGCAGCAGTGCTGCTCTGGCAGGAGTCAGCATGGCCCGTTTCTTCTCCTCCTGTGGTTAGCACCCTCCAGACATGCTCAGGTAGAGAGAGCTTGTGTGGATTCCCATCTGACACCAACAGGATTTCGTTATCGGGGGAAGTAGACTTGATGCTGATGGGGCTTGGAAATGAAATGTCATTCATTTTGCATGCAGGCAAAAAGCACAGTAAATGAAAGGATTAGATAGAGTATGCATGAAGGGAAAAGCTCTTGTCCTGATCAATAATTTAAAAATTCCCAAGCGAGAGTTAGAGCCGA